GTGGTGCCGTTTTCTTTCCCACTGTCGTTTTAACCACCAGGATGTTTCTGTAGCTTCATTAAGACGTTGGCAGCCATTTTTAAAGTGGAACTTTGAAACCTGTAGAACGAATTTTTCTTTTTATAATAAAATTTTGTATATTATAACTGGAGTTTGTGATTATTCCACATGTTCAACTTTCTGTCAGATCTGCTGAATAATAAACAGGAATTTAATATCTAAACTGTTTCTGCTGCATGTTTTAGTTTTGGCTGTGTCTCCATGCATGGCTGGAAAGAATCCAGAGGAGCAACTCGCAGCAGACTACTGGAAAGTTTGCTGGAGGGAAAACCTTTAAATTTGGACATGCTGGCAGAGCGACTGGTTGACAGCAGCTCACCCCAAACGTCTTCAACCTGGATTCTCTGGCTGAAACTGGTTACAATCAGTGCTGAGTTTAATTTGTTTAGAGTTCAGGTTAAAAAGTAAATGAAACCTGGGGACCAAATCTGCTGCTGAGGCCTCGTCCCACCTGGAGCTAAATGTAACCACTGATTTTATTGAGAAGTTGTGAAGGATTTGGACTTTATGTTGATCTGTGCCTGACGCTCCCAGCAGCCAATAGTTGTTCAGTAGCGGCCATCCGATGGGCCAATCAGAGGCGCCGCTGCCTTGGTCCCGCCTCCTTTGGACGACGCCGAGCCGCGGCGACAGCGGGGCTTCATTCAGCACCTGAGAGCTGCGGCCTGCTGGCACCTGACGGTAAGACCGGAACCAGAACCAGAACAATCATGAACACAGCGCGAAGCGGAGACGGAGCAGATGCTAGCCGCGCGTCCTCCGCCGCGCGCCGCGAGTCCGCCGCCTGTTCGTCGTGCGTCCGCCGCGCCGCAACCGCTTGTGCGCCGAGCGTCCGCCGCACCGCCGCCGCCTGTTCGCCGCGAGTTCGCCGCGCCGCCGCCTGTGCGCCGCGCAGAGGATTAGTTGGTGTCGCTCAGACCTGTTGCCGGTTCTGCCTCCTCCCGAATCCGCCCTCAGTGATTCGGTTCAACCCGAACCCGTCCGGTCGCGAGCAGAAACCGTCTTTGTCACGAGTGAGTTGGTGCAGTGTGACACAGGGAGGATGTCTGGATGGAAACCCAGACACCCGAACCAGTCCTTCCAGAACCGGGCCCGTTTCATGGCTCTGGATGCTGCTGGGGTTCTGGTCTCATCTGCAGGAAGAACTGGGTTTACTGGAAATGCGCAGTTGGAATGAATCATCACGGAACCGGCGGGGCGGACCAGAACCGGGTCCAGCTGAGGTCCATAAACTCCAGCTTCGGAACAGAACACGCTGAAGGATCCAAGCTGAAGGCTAGGATGATCCAAACCCGACCAGAACCTCAACAACATGAGGGCTCTGGACTGAACCGGGCCTGTAGAACCTGGTCCGTCCGCGTTCCCACTCTGACCCAATCGGGGAACGATTGGAGTTTCCAAAACCTGCTGATTCTGTTTTTTGTCTGAAAAGTAGCTTAATATGAGCGCAGCGATTAGAAGGCGATAAATTGTCCCAGAAGTTATTGTGATAAACGATAATATTGTAGTTTGGAGACCATTTTCCAGCAATATACTGATAATGGCATAATAATGCGCATTGTCAAAGATCAACAAACCTTTAACATTGGAACCGGAAGACATTTTAAATAAATAAATAAAACAAATGAAAATTGTTCTACATATAGATGTCGGGTTGAGACCAAAACTGCAGACCGAAAACTTGGATCATCTGTATTTTGGTTTTGGCAGGAAGAAAAAAGATCAATTATTCCCAAATGAATCGTTTGTGCCTGAATGATGCGTGCTGCAGATGATGTCTGATTGTTTCAGCATGAAATTTAAAACATGACTCTTCAGACTGCAAACACTTTGAAAATTAGTTACTTTTGTTTGCTTGAACAATAAAAACAACTGATTATATTTACAGTAAGCGCAGATTAAATATGTGAAACAACAGAAATATGAATGATTCTGTGCCAATGTGAACATTTATTGAGTTTTGTTGGGCCTGTGATGGTTTAGGGGAAGGGTCAGAGTTCACGCTGCTTTGTGCACCGAGGATCCAGCAGTTTGTCACTGAAGAAAGATCCAGAAATGAATGAAAATAATCAGAAATATGTCATGGGGAAGAGTAAAGCAAGAGCATTAAAGTCATCCAGAATAGTAAAAGTGTTGAGGTGGGTCAGCGCTGTTAGCCGCCCTGATTCTGATAATGAAGAGAATCTGCATGGAAATCAGCCGATTTGCACCTGACAAGACGAGGTCAGGGAAAACTGGCCTGCAGGTGTTTGAAGATTACCTTTGATTGATAAATGGTTTCATCCACAGCAGCATCAATCAGCTGGTGAAATGAAGAGAGAGGCAGATGTGCAACAGGTGCCATGCATCAGCAGTAGCCGAACGTTAGCAGCAGCAGCCGAGCGTTAGCAGCAGCAGAGCGTTAGCAGCAGCAGACCGTTTAGCAGCAGCAGCCGAGCGTTAGCAACAGCAGACGTTAGCAGCAGCAGCAGAGCGTTAGCAGCAGCAGAGCATTAGCATCAGCAGCCGAGCGTAGCAGCAGCAGAGCATTAGCAGCAGCAGCAGCTGAGCGTTAGCAGCAGCAGCCGAGCGTTAGCAGCAGCAGAGCGTTAGCAGCAGCAGCCGAGCGTTAGCAACAGCAGAGCGTTAGCATCAGCAGCCGAGCGTTAGCAGCAGCAGCCGAGCGTTAGCAGCAGCAGAGCATTAGCAGCAGCAGCTGAGCGTTAGCAGCAGCAGCCGAGCGTTAGCAGCAGCAGAGCGTTAGCAGCAGCAGCCGAGCGTTAGCAACAGCAGAGCGTTAGCATCAGCACCGAGCGTTAGCAACAGCAGAGCGTTAGCATCAGCAGCCGAGCGTTAGCAGCAGCAGAGCATTAGCAGCAGCAGCTGAGCGTTAGCAGCAGCAGCCGAGCGTTAGCAGCAGCAGAGCGTTAGCAGCAGTAGCCGAGCGTTAGCAGCAGCAGCCGAGCGTTAGCACAGCAGAGCGTTAGCATCAGCAGACCGTTAGCAGCAGAGCCGAGCGTTAGCAGCAGCAGAGCGTTAGCAGCAGTAGCCGAGCGTTAGCAGCAGCAGAGCGTTAGCAGCAGTAGCCGAGCGTTAGCAGCAGCAGACCGTTAGCAGCAGCAGAGCGTTAGCAGCAGCAGCCGAGCGTTAGCAGCAGCAGAGCGTTAGCAGCAGTAGCCGAGCGTTAGCAGCAGCAGCCGAGCGTTAGCAGCAGCAGACCGTTAGCAGCAGCAGACGTTAGCAGCAGCAGCAGACCGTTAGCAGCAGCAGACCGTTAGCAGCAGCAGACCGTAAGCAGCAACAGCAGAGCGTTAGCAGCAGCAGCCGAGCGTTAGCAACAGCAGAGCGTTAGCAACAGCAGAGCGTTAGCATCAGCAGCCGAGCGTTAGCAGCAGCAGCCGAGCGTTAGCAGCAGCAAGCGTTAGCATCAGCAGCGAGCGTTAGCAGCAGCAGAGCGTTAGCATCAGCAGCCGAGCGTTAGCAACAGCAGAGCGTTAACATCAGCAGCCGAGCGTTAGCAACAGCAGAGCGTTAGCAACAGCAGAGCGTTAGCATCAGCAGCCGAGCGTTAGCAGCAGCAGCCGAGCGTTAGCAGCAGCAAGCGTTAGCATCAGCAGCCGAGCGTTAGCAGCAGCAGAGCGTTAGCATCAGCAGCCGAGCGTTAGCAGCAGAGCGTTAGCATCAGCAGCCGAGCGTTAGTAGCAGCAGAGCGTTAGCATCAGCAGCGAGCGTTAGCAGCAGCAGAGAGTTAGCAGCAGCAGCTGAGCGTTAGCAGCAGCAGCTGAGCGTTAGCAGCAGCAGAGCGTTAGCAGCAGCTGAGCGTTAGCAGCAGCTGAGCGTTAGCAGCAGCACCGAGCGTTAGCAGCAGCAGCCGAGCGTTAGCAGCAGCAGCTGAGGTTAGCAGCAGCCGAGCGTTAGCAGCAGCAGCCAAGCGTTAGCAGCAGCAGCCAAGCGTTAGCAGCAGCAGAGCGTTAGCAGCAGCAGAGCATTAGCAGCAGCCCAGCGTTAGCAGCAGCAGCCCATCGTTAGCAGCAGCATCCAAGCGTTAGCAGCAGCAGCTGAGTGTCAGCAGTAGCAGAGCGTTAGCAGCAGCCCAGCGTTAGCAGCAGCAGCCAAGCGTTAGCAGCAGCAGCAGAGCGTTAGCAGCTGCTGAGCGTTAGCAGCAGCAGCTGAGCGTTAGCAGCAGCAGCTGAGCGTTAGCAGCAGCAGCTGAGCGTTAGCAGCAGCAGCAGAGCGTTAGCAGCTGCTGAGCGTTAGCAGCAGCAGCTGAGCGTTAGCAGCAGCCCAGCGTTAGCAGCAGCCCAGCGTTAGCAGCAGCAGCTGAGAGGGCCAAGCTCAGCAGAGATTAATTCAATCTGCTCTGTAATCATCTTAGCCTGCAGCCTGGAGCCGTCTGCGTGTTTGCACATTAAAAACTGCAGGAACGTTCTGGAGCTCTTCTGGTTTTATTATGAATCTGGAAGGAACAGAAAACAACCAGCAGAAAAACTGAACCTGTAAATAACGACGACCAGAAAACAGAACAAATAGTAAAACTGCAGCTGAAGGATGCAACAAGCTATTACTTTAGGTTTTGATTAATTAATCAATTCATTTTGACTTTTCATCAGATTTAACAAATGTTCTGCCGATTCGTCATGAAAACATTTTTTATACAATATCAGAAGAAAGTTTGTTGAGTATTAGTTGATTGACTGATTAATAATTGGTTTGCAAAAGGTTTTATTTTTAATTGATGATGTTGTTTCAGCTGTTGATCTTTTTCAGAGACGATTCATTGACTGCTAAATTAGTCGGCGATAATTTGAATAATCAATTCATCCGATTAATCGTTTGTTGGCTTCCGCTAACTGAAGCCAATAAACATGACCTGGTTGTCCTTCCCTCAGATTCATGTGCTCATATTCATGCATTATGTGTTCATCTTGCGGCTGCTGATGGCGGCGGCTCGTCCAGCTCTCTGCAGGTGAGGATGGCCAAGGTGAAGCAGGTGGGCCTCCTGGCCGCCGGCTGCCAGCCCTGGAACAAAGACGTGTGCGCCGCCAGCGGAGACCGCTTCGCCTACTGCGCTACGTTAGCCATCTACGTCTACCAGGTGAGGTGATGAGGCCCTGTCCCTTCATTCATTCATTCATTCATTCATTCATTCATTCATTCATTCATTCATTCATTCATTCATTCATTCATATCACATATTCAAACAAAATATTTATTCAGCAAAGAAATCCAGATAATTAGCTTCCAAAGTTGTAATTAGCTAATTAGCTCACTATTAGCTCAGCTCTTGTTGTGGTTGCGTCCTTCCGGTTATTGGGAAGTGATTTTGGCATATTAGCCAAATATTTATCTTGCTAATTAATGTTTAGTTTGAAACATTTATGAATGAATGATTTAAAAAAATGAACCGTCAGTTTTTTTATTTTGTGACATTTGTGTTAATTTGAGCTAATTAACCCAAATTACTGGTGTTAATGTTAAACTATGCAACTTTCCTAACGCCTCATAATTTCACAGAGATCTTTAAAAGTCAATTTGAGAATTATCAGCGAACCTGCCGCCGTCTCCAGCGGTCGTCGTTTGTCTGTTGAAGACACAACTTCATGTTTGTGATTAGATTCCTAAATTTATGTCCCAAAAGTCGCAGCACATTATGTTTTCAAGTGAACATCATTGGATAAAATTAGATTTTTGTTGTAAGTGAAGTATAACTAAAAATTTGAGCAGGATGGATCAAACGTGATTCAGAAAGATCTTCTCTGACGGCTCCTCACCTGTCTGAAGACTCCTGGCTCACCTTTGACCTTGTAAAGCAGATGTCTGTTTGTGTGCAGCTGGACCAGCAGTACAACGAGTTCAAGCTGCGCTCCATCATGTCGGAGCACAAGAAGACGATCACGGCCATCAGCTGGTGTCCAGACAACGCCGACCTGTTCGCCTCCGCCTCCGCCGACAACCTGCTCATCATCTGGAACGTGGCGGAGAAGAAGGCCGCCGCCCGGCTGGACAGCACCAAAGGTAGATGACCGACCGGGACTCTGACCTCTGACCTCTGACCTCTGACCTCCGTCCTCTCCAGGCATCCCCGTCTCCGTCAGCTGGTGCTGGAACTCACCGGACGGCGTGGCGTTCGTGTCGCAGCGCGGCCCGCTGTACGTCTGGGACTACCGAGGGTCCGACGCCGCGGTCACCGTCCACAAGGAGGCGCACTCCTTCCTGTCGGACATCTGCCTGTTCCGCTGGCACCCGAGCAAGAAGGGCAAGCTGGTGTTCGGACACACGACGGCAGCCTGTCCGTCTTCCAGCCCGGTCAGTCCAGGTCCAGTTCACCCCTCAAGAGTCTGCATTCATTTGTCTAGTTTGTTTCGTGGGTTTGGTGGTTGTCAGCTTGAGAAACACTCATCGAGAGAGAATGACCTTTGACCTCTAACCTGTGGGGTCTGCAATGAAGCGCTGGGTTTGGACAGTAAGCTTGTCGTCGTAACTTCGTAGTCTGCAGCTTACATTTTAGACTTTCAGATATCTAGACGGTAATCATGAAACTGATTTTATGATAACTCAGCCTGCCGTACCTGGTTGTTCCTTTGAGCTTTGACCTTTAACCTCTACAGTTACATGGTTCTGTAAAAACTGTCAGAAAACAGGGACGTTCTGATACTAGAGGTTAGAATTTGTACTTTTGAATACTTGAGTATTTTAATAAGTAACTTTCGCTTGTAGCTGAGTAGCAATACTTTTACTCGAGTACTTTGCACTCCACTGGTCATTTCTCTGACCTCTGACCTTGGGCTGAGCCTTCTCTCAGACTGGGGGATGATACACTTTGTATGACCTTTGACCCCTTCTGAGCATTTCGACTTCCTGCCCTGCGTTTCCTGACTGACCTCTGACCTCTGCCGTGTGTCCAGGCAGTAAAAGCCAGAAGCACGTCCTGCGTCCAGAGGCCCTGGAGGGGACGGACGAGGAGGACCCGGTCAGCGCCCTGGAGTGGGACCCTCTGTCCGTCGACTACCTGCTCGGTCCGGTTCCGACCCGAAGCCTCAGCGCAGACGCAGCCTCGGGTTCTGATCGGGTTCTGATCGGGTTCTGACCCGCTGTCTTCTTCTGCAGTGTCCAACCTCCACAACGGCGTGCGGCTGGTGGACAGCGAGGGACTGTCCTGCATCACGTCCTTCTGCTTCCCGTCCGCCGCCGCCTCCGTCCAGTGCCTGGCCTGGGTTCCCTCGGCTCCGGGGATGTTCATCACCGGGGGTGAGAGGCGCTGCAGGACCCTGGCTCTGAATGAAGCCTGGTTTGTGGTGAGACGTGTTCTTTCTGCAGACTCGCAGGTCGGCGTGCTGAGGGTTTGGAACGTGTCTCGCTCCACGCCGTTGGACAGCTTCAAGCTGAAGAAGACGGGATTTCACGCTCTGCATGTGCTCAGCGCCCCGCTGGCCAAAAGAGGTAACTGCACCTCCGATAACCCAACATGTAGACTGAAACGTCACTCATAGCTATTAGTCAATTATTGAAATCTCTATTAATCATTCATTAATCTTAGACTGGAGTAAAAATTTTAGAAACAATTCAGAGCTGCAATCAGATCAGAACTGTCCAAAAGCAAAACCTAACCTGTTTCTGCAGGTAAATCCATTCTTCACCCTTGGATGGACTGGACTTTCTGGAGCGATGCTCAGGCTAACCGCCTCTGCTCCTCTCTGCAGCTCAGAGCTCCAGTTCTCCCAGTAAGAGCCAGCACACCAGTTCCACCAGCGAGGCCGTCCCTCCGCCGACCCTGTCCCAGAACCGGGCCTTCTCTCTGCCGCCCGGTCACGCCGTCTGCTGCTTCATGGACGGCGGCATCGGACTCTACGACATGGGGCCAAGAAGTGGGACTTCCTGAGAGACTTGGTGCGCTGCGGGCCGCGCGGCTGGCGGGGCAGGAAGTGTCTCGGTTCTCTCTGACGTCTGTTTTCAAATTCCAGGGCCACGTGGAAACCATCTTTGACTGCAAGTTTAAACCCGATGACCCCAACCTGCTGGCGACGGCCAGTTTTGATGGAACCATTAAAATCTGGGACACCAACACGCTGACGGCCGTTTCTACGTCGCCCGGGAACGAAGGCGTGGTTTACTCTCTGTCCTGGGCTCCAGGTGCATAAGCCGCTAACACACCGCTAATATCAGCTAATGCTAGCATACCTGTTAATGTTAGCATATTAACTAGTGTTAGCATATGAGCTATTACAATATGAGCTAACATTAATTTATCAGCTAATGTTAGCATACGAGTTAGTACTGGCTTTTCAGTCAATCACAGTAGATCAGCTAATAATATTGGTATATTGGTTAATGTTAGCATTTGAGGTTTGTTAGCATGTCTGCTAATGTTTACCATACCTTGCATATATAAGCTAATGTTAGGATGTTGACAATTGTTGAGGCATCAGTTCATGTTAGTTTATCAGCTGTAGCTGCTACTACCTGTGTTAATGGGTCCTGTGTTGTTAAAGTTAGCTAATAAGTAGCATTAGTTAAACTGGTGAGCTAATAAGTTAACAGTACATTACTTTTATCGTGTAAAACATGAGTGATTGGATATTTGTGGAGGTGTCATTCTCAGCAGTGGGTGAGGTTGAGGCAGGACTGGCAGCAGAGAGGATTGTGGGTCAGGGGAATTTCCTTCTGTGTTTCTTGGATCTGCAAACTGTTAGTGTGGATGTCAGGAACCAGACGGTTGCTGTGGTTCTAAATGGGAAAGCAGTTTTTCTCTGCTGGTTTCTAAGGAGACCTGAACTGCATCGCGGGAGCGACGTCTCGTAACGGAGCGTTTATTTGGGACGTCGGGAAGGGGAAAATCATCACCCGCTTTAACGAGGTCAGTTGAGATCTGCAGCCTTGGCGAAGCTGGAGCCGTTCTAACTGCTGCTGTTTCCCTTCAGCACGGTAAGAACGGGATTTTCTGCATATCGTGGAGCCACAAAGACTCCAAGAGGATCGCCACCTGCAGCGGAGACGGGTTCTGGTGAGCGCCGGTCCAATCGGGTTTAACCGTGCAGCGATGAGGCGCAGCGTGTTTCACGTTCCTGTCTCTGCAGCATCATCAGAACCATCGACGGCAAAATCCTGCACAAGTACAAACATCCTGCCGCCGTGTTCGGCTGCGACTGGAGCCAGAACAACAAGTAAGAGCTGGAGATACGTCTGTCTGTCATCCATCCATCGTCCATCCATCATCCATCCATCATCCATCCATCATCCATCCATCTGTCATCCATCCATCATCCATCCATCATCCATCCATCTGTCATCCATCCATCATCCATCCATCATCCATCTGTCATCCATCCATCTGTCATCCATCCATCATCCATCCATCCATCCATCTGTCATCCATCCATCATCCATCCATCATCCATCCATCTGTCATCCATCCATCTGTCATCCATCCATCATCCATCCATCCATCATCCATCCATCTGTCATCCATCCATCATCCATCCATCATCCATCCATCTGTCACCCATCCATCATCCATCCATCATCCATCCATCTGTCATCCATCCATCATCCATCCATCCATCCATCATCCATCCATCTGTCATCCATCCATCCATCATCCATCCATCATCCATCCATCTGTCATCCATCCATCATCCATCCATCATCCATCCATCCATCATCCATCCATCTGTCATCCATCCATCCATCATCTATCCATCATCCATCCATCTGTCATCCATCCATCCATCATCCATCCATCATTCATCCATCTGTCATCCATCCATCATCCATCCATCATCCATCCATCATCCATCCATCATCCATCCATCTGTCATCCATCCATCATCCATCCATCCATCCATCATCTATCCATCATCCATCCATCTGTCATCCATCCATCCATCCATCATCATCCATCCATCCATCCATCATCCATCCATCCATCCATCATCCATCATCCATCATCCATCCATCTGTCATCCATCCATCCATCATCCATCCATCATTCATCCATCTGTCATCCATCCATCATCCATCCATCATCCATCCATCATCCATCCATCATCCATCCATCTGTCATCCATCCATCATCCATCCATCATCCATCCATCTGTCATCCATCCATCATCCATCCATCATCCATCCATCCATCATCCATCCATCATCCATCCATCATCCATCATCCATCATCCATCATCCATCCATCTGTCATCCATCCATCATCCATCATCCATCCATCTGTCATCCATCCATCCATCATCCATCATCCATCTGTCATCCATCCATCATCCATCCATCCATCATCCATCCATCATCCATCCATCTGTCATCCATCTGTCATCCATCCATCATCCATCTGTCATCCATCCATCATCCATCCATCTGTCACCCATCCATCATCCATCCATCATCCATCCATCTGTCACCCATCCATCATCCATCCATCATCCATCCATCTGTCATCCATCCATCCATCATCCATCCATCATCCATCATCCATCCATCTGTCATCCATCATCCATCTGTCATCCATCCATCATCCATCCATCCATCATCCATCCATCATCCATGCATCATCCATCATCCATCCATCTGTCATCCATCCATCATCCATCCATCCATCATCCATCCATCATCCATCCATCTGTCATCCATCTGTCATCCATCCATCCATCCATCTGTCATCCATCCATCATCCATCCATCGTCCATCTGTCATCCATCCATCATCCATCTGTCATCCATCCATCATCCATCCATAGTCCATCTGTCATCCATCTGTCATCCATCCATCATCCATCCATCATCCATCCATCTGTCATCCATCCATCATCCATCCATCCATCCATCCATCCATCCATCATCCATCTGTCATCCATCCATCATCCATCCATCTGTCATCCATCCATCTGTCATCCATCCATCATCCATCCATAGTCCATCTGTCATCCATCTGTCATCCATCCATCATCCATCCATCATCCATCCATCTGTCATCCATCCATCATCCATCCATCCATCCATCCATCATCCATCTGTCATCCATCCATCATCCATCCATCATCCATCCATCCGTCATCCATCCATCATCCATCCATCTGTCATCCATCCATCATCCATCCATCATCCATCCCATCATCCATCCATCATCCATCCATCCATCATCCATCCATCTGTCATCCATCCATCATCCATCCATCCATCATCCATCCATCTGTCATCCATCATCCATCCATCATCCATCCATCTGTCATCCATCCATCCATCTGTCATCCATCCATCATCCATCCATCTGTCATCCATCATCCATCCATCATCCATCCATCCATCATCCATCCATCTGTCATCCATCCATCATCCATCCATCTGTCATCCATCCATCATCCATCATCCATCCATCCATCATCCATCCATCTGTCATCCATCCATCCATCTGTCATCCATCCATCATCCATCCATCTGTCATCCATCCATCCATCATCCATCCATCATCCATCCATCCATCCATCCATCCATCATCCATCCATCATCCATCCATCCATCATCCATCCATCATCCATCCATCCATCCATCATCCATCCATCCATTATCCATCCATCTGTCATCCATCCATCATCCATCCATCCATCATCCATCCATCATCCATCCATCCATCCATCCATCCATCCATCATCCATCCATCATCCATCCATCCATCCATCATCCATCCATCCATCATCCATCCATCATCCATCCATCCATCATCCATCCATCTGTCATCCATCCATCATCCATCCATCATCCATCCATCCATCATCCATCCATCCATCCATCCATCCATCATCCATATCATCCATCCATCTGTCATCCATCATCCATCATCCCATCCATCATCCATCCATCATCCATCCATCATCCATCCATCCATCCATCATCCATCCATCTGTCATCCATCCATCATCCATCCATCTGTCATCCATCCATCTGTCATCCATCCATCATCCATCCATCTGTCATCCATCCATCATCATCCATCATCCATCCATCTGTCATCCATCCATCATCCATCCATCATCCATCATCCATCCATCTGTCACCCATCCATCACCCATCCATCATCCATCCATCATCCATCATCCATCCATCTGTCATCCATCCATCATCCATCCATCCATCATCCATCCATCCATCCATCTGTCATCCATCCATCCATCATCCATCATCCATCCATCCATCTGTCATCCATATCATCCATTCATCCATCATCCATCCATCCATCCATCATCCATCCATCATCCATCCATCTGTCATCCATCCATCCATCATCCATCCATCCATCCATCCATCATCCATCCATCTGTCATCCATCCATCCATCATCCATCCATCATCCATCCATCCAATCAATGTATAGCTGTCTCTGTCTCCTGCGTCCCCTAAGGGACATGATAGCGACCGGCTGTGAGGACAGGAACGTGCGGGTCTACTACCTGGCCACCAGCTCTGATCAGCCGCTCAAGGTGTTCACTGGACACCTGGCCAAGGTGTTCCATGTCCGTTGGTCGCCGCTCAGGGAGGGAATCCTTTGCTCCGGCTCTGACGACGGGTGAGATTCTGGGCCGACTGCGTCTCCGGCTCAGGAAGCTGTTCTGGTTCTATGGTTCTGGTTCTGTGTGTGGGCAGAACGGTCCGGATCTGGGACTACACCCAGGACGCCTGCATCAACGTTCTAAGTGGACACACGGCGCCGGTCCGAGGCCTGATGTGGAACACCGAGGTTCCGTACCTGCTCATCTCAGGTACAGAACCGCTGGACCCAGTACTGGGACCAGTGCGCAGTGCTGGGACTGCCAGAACTATTTGTCCATGAGTTTGATTACGGCTGCAGTTTGTAACTTTGATGAAATGTTGTTAATATTTATGTGGAATGAGCCTTAATGTGGTGAATCTGTGCTGAAGTGGATCTGGACAAACGCTGCGTTTATGCAGACGTTTTATGACATAACCAGCTGCCTCAGCATGGAGGCAGTTCAGCTCATATGGAAAACATTTTCAATAAGCTACTGCAGCTTTAAGGGAAGACGGGAACGCTCCGTCCTCATTGGTCTCTGGTCCCGGTCGCTTCTGCAGGATCCTGGGATTATACGATCAGAGTCTGGGACACCAGGGACGGGACGTGTCTGGACACCGTCTTCGACCACGGAGCCGACGTCTACGGTGAGACACCGAGAGACACCAGAAGGCCCTGCTGAGGCTGTCCAGCGGTCTGAAGTCCTCTATGTCCCCGTCCTCCCGTCCTCGTCCCTGATGCCCCTCCCCGGTCCCATCCCTGTCCACCTCCCTGGTCCCTGTCCACCTCATCCACCTTCCCGTCCACCTCCCCGTCCCCCTCCCCATCCACCTCCGTCCCCACAGGTCTGACGTGTCACCACAGCCGGCCCTTCACCATGGCGAGCTGCAGCAGGGACAGCACTGTCCGTCTCTGGTCTCTCACGCCACTTGTCTGTCCTCTGCTGCTCAACATCCTGACGGAGACACCCTGGGACCGGATCATCGGGAATACAGGTGAGCCCCGCTGGAGGCCCGGTCTGGATCGGGTTTTTTTCTGACCCGTCTCTCCCTGCAGACGCGGCCATGGTCCCCGGCTCGCCGCCGCTGCTCTGCGGAAAACTGTCCAGAGACATCAAGCAGGAGCTGGACAAGCTGAGCGGAGACGGCCGGTCCAGAAAGCTGCGCTGGTTTTCTGAGACTTTCTCTGTGAGTTCAGCATCAGCAGGGGGTCTGATGTCATCAGATGTTTATGTAAAACTCTGTAGAGTTTATCCTTAAAGGGCCAGTATGTACAATCAGCTTTGATCTTTGATCAGTGTTGCTCCCAGCTGCTAAAAGCCTGGGTGGACCTAGCCCCGCCTTCGAGCCGCAGCTCCTCCCCCACTCAGCTCCTTCAGACTAGCCAGCAGCTGCTGGAACTGCTGAGCCCAGATCGACCAGGAGCTGTGTTGGGATGACTTCCTGGAGGCGGAGCTTCAGACAGAGCAGGGGTTTATTAAAGAGACAGAGACCCAATTTCAAGGCGTTAAATCAGGAAGTGAATTTTTTAAAATCATGTTTAATTTTTGTAACAACTGAAGTTGACATAGCTACATGGTAGAGCCATTAACGCCCTGTGGCAAACACGACACTGGCCCTTTAAGAGGCTCCCTGTGATGCGCCTGTTTCATCTAGACGAAGAGAAAAACACCCAAAATGTTTTTCTGATTTACTGTTCTGTTTTTACTTAAAGCAATATTCTGGTTGTATGAGATATAACTCTTTGCTTTCATTTTTTTTAAAATCTTGTTAAAATTTATTTCCTAACTCTGGCAGGAAATATATTTAGAAGCCTAAAAATCCACATTGTTCTGTTTTTTAGTAACTTGATGCTTTTTGCCTAAAATCTTGCAGTATTTCACTGATTTGATGAAAACTCATGTCAGAACTGATCATGTTTGCAGAATAACAACCTTTTTTCTGAGCTCTTCTTGTTGTGTGAATCAGAGGCAGGGAAGCAGTTCAGGTCCGGTCCAGAACCGGTCCCTCTGGGCCTGGAGCAGCTTCCTGCTGAGCCTGAGTGACCAGACAAACAAGCAGCAGCAGCAGATAATGAGATAATCAGCTCATGTTGCCTCCTTACCGCTGGCGCCCCTGCTGCTGTTCTGCTGTAACTCCATCTTTAATAATCTCAGGGAAAATAGTGAAGCCAACCTGTAGATGGCGCCGTTAGCTAAAAACCATCTACACTTTTTCTGACGCTTCAGTTAAAACATGACACAATCTTTAATCTGCTGATGGTCAGAGCCTCCATCGGCTGGAGGATCGGACCGTTTGGTTCCGGATGAGGTTCTGTTGGATGTGTTGAACATGTGCAGTGTCGCCCTCAGCCTCCAGGGGGCAGCAGCAACTTGTGGGACCTGGTGTTCATCATCAACGGCCAGGACGACTCGCTGCTTCCTGCCAGCTATAGCAAAGGCGTGATGCACATGAAACACCTGGTAAAGTTTAAAACGGTGAGACGCTCAGGTAACTCTGCAGGCTCCGCCCCACGCAGGCTCCGCCCCACGCAGGCTCCGCCCCCACACTGGCAGAAACTTTACTAAACTGTTCACAACCTCAAAAACTAAAAGATGTCAACATATTAAAAAAATGCTTTTATTTTGAAAGGGTTTAGTGTTTTATTTGAACAGAAAAGTTTTTAAAAATCTGCAAGTTAAATCTGAAATGTGAAAAATAGTAAGACATTGTCTCTGCTGGTCCCATGTTAGTTAGCCCAAATGTTTTAAATTATTTTTCAGACAAAATGAAAATGTTAACTAAAAAGGAAAAATACAAGTTTAAAAGTAAATTATTTATTGATGTGTTTTGTTTTTAATTTATTTTTTACAGTTTGAAAAATAATTTGCTAAATATTTTTCTTGTATGTTTTTATTTCTATTTTGTAGTTTTTGTGTAATATTTTAATTAGTTAATTTGTTCATTTATCACAGTAAGAAGTAGCATTTGAAATAAAATTAGTGCTATTTAAATCCATGTAAACAGAAGCTGCCAGATGTGAGGCAACACAAAATGATTTAAATTGATAATAACAATTTACAACAATATGAACACATTTTGCAAAAAAAACTTTAAGTAGATTAAACTAAATGATCAGTTAAATACCGCACATAGGTAAATAGATCAAAGATTAATAAACAAAATAAGTCTTTTTACTTTGCTAATCTGATGAAAAAATGTTTTCTTTTGCTGTTGATAATAATACTAATAATGATGAACCTCTCAGCTTTATTCAATCAGATAAAATCCCTCTTAGGGATTTAAAATATTTAAAATACTAAATTAGTTTAGTAAAATTAGTAACCCTGCTGGCAGAAATAAAACGGGAATCATTTATGTTTTAATGTTTTATTATTTTATTGTGCAGTTTTATTTTTTAATGTTTTATTTGTTTACAGTCTGAAGCTCAGGAGCTGACGATCGTCAAGATGTCGAAATTCGGCGGAGGAATCGGCGCGCCGAGCAAAGAGGAGCGTCTGAAGGAAGCAGCAGAGATCCACCTGAGGCTGGGTCAGATCCAGAGGTACTGCGAGCTCATGGTGGAGCTGGGTCAGGTGAGAACCGGGTCACCGGCCCAAACTCAGGTTCTGTTCAGCTCCTGTCTGTTCCCTCAACCCGCCGTCTCTTTCAGTGGGAGAAAGCCTTGGCGGTGGCGCCCGGAGTCTCCATGAAGTACTGGAAGAAACTCATGCAGAGGTAACGCACTCAGAACCAGAGCAGGTCCTGGTTCTGATCTGGTTCTGGTTCAGTTCTGTCAGTGACTGGGTCGTGTTTCTGCAGACGAGCCGATCAGCTGATGGCCGACGATAACGATGACGCCATCCCGTACTGCATCGCCACCGGCGACATTAAGAAGCTCGTATCGTTCTTCACCAGCAGGGGGCCTGCTGGAGGCCTGATCGTACAGGTAAGGGGGGGGTCACCAGGTGCGTCCAGCAGGCCGGGGCACCATCTGCGTCCAGCAGGCCGGGGCACCAGGTGCGTCCAGCAGGCCGGGGCACCAGGTGCGTCCAGCAGGCCGGGGCACCAGGTGCGTCCAGCAGGCCGGGGCACCAGGTGCGTCCAGCAGGCCGGGGCACCAGGTGCGTCCAGCAGGCCCGGGCACCAGGTGCGTCCAGCAGGCCGGGGCACCAGGTGCGTCCAGCAGGCCGGGGCTGAGCAGCCACTGTTTGCAGGGAGCGTGTGAAGGGAACATCCGTTCCCCGCAGAGTTCATCCATCAACCACACAACCAACGACGTGGAAAACAGGCAGCACTACCAGAGGTAGGGAAGCGCGGAAACCCGGTTTACCAATGAGCAGCATTAGCTTAGCTTAAGTTAGCTTCTTTACCCTACACTGGATTAGCTGCCTTAGCCTAGCCCATCTTAGCTAAATTTGGGTTATATTAGCATTTATTATTTTAACCCACATTCATTTAACTTGGATTATATTAGCTTAGCTTAGCATAGCTTTTTTTAAATCCCAAATTAGTTGAAGCATAGCTTAGCTAAACTTAGCCTGTCATAACTTAGCTTATTTTGTCTAAGTTTAGGAATTAAATTGGTTTAGCTAATGCTAACTTGGATTATTTTCGCATTAGCTGTGTTTATCTTCCTTTATAAGATAAGATTTAAAATGACAAATAATTTAATTGCTTCTCAGTATATTTTAATTTAATCTAGTTTGGCCTATTTATCATATTTAACTGAAATGATTTTAGGACCAAAGCATCCTATAAGTGAAATACTTTATAACGTAGTTTACAGTTTTTGCACTGACAGTTTCTCTGTGGTGTTTAATCTGTCAAGAATAAATCTTTGTCGTAAAAAACGTTTCGTCTTTCTGCCGTCAGCCTCCTTCATCATGTCTGTAAGGAACTGGCTGAGTGGTACTTCCAAGATGGCCGCTCCGTCCTGGCCGCATGCTGCCACCTGGCGGTCGACAACATCCAGGTAGGTTTCCTCCAGGTTTCTCCAGGTTTCTCCAGGTTTCCTCTTCGGTTCTGAAGCCATGTTTCTGTCCTGCAGTCGGCCATGGCCAGCCTGATCCGGGGAAACGAGTTGGAGCTGGCTGCGTGCGTGGGACTGGTCCTGGGAGAAGCAGCCAATCAGAGCACGGCTTACTGCCTGGAGCTGTTGGCCAGGAAGTACATGACGGCGCCAACATGGTAGACACGCAGGCCGCTTCTATGTGAGGAGTTCTGTGTTTGCTGCTGGTCTGTCAGGATGTCTGTTGTTCTCAGGGAGCTCTCCGCCGACCTGCTGCTGATGATCCCTGATAATCACGTCTTACTGGCCAAGCTGTGCGCCTTCCACCCAGGAAGTGCTGCAGAGATCGACCGGCTGCACCAGCGGGTGGGGAGACCTCGGCCCAGATTACAGTTTGACCGTATTCTCTGGGATTTAAATCGTTTTGTCGTTGCAGTGCGGCCTGCCCTCCCTGGATGAGTGCTCGGATCTGGCAGTAGCTGCGGCGGCCGACGGCGATCTGTTCTCCGCCGTGAAGTTCCACCTGCTGAGCTCTGAGCCTGAACTCGCCCTGCAGATGGGCCTCGGCTTCCTGAAAGGTAACTGTTTGCTCCCTGCGTGTCGGCCGCGAGCGGACGCCCGCTACGAATCTCACGCTGCGTGTCGCTGCTGATCAGAGCAGCTGGCCGGATCTGATTGGACGGTGGACGGCGTTCAGCCAATCCTGGACCTGCTGAGCTACATCCGGACCGACCGCCTCGTCCTGCCCAGGCTCACCCAGTGAGGAAGTCGTCTCCGCAGGACATCAGACCCTCGCCCGGGCTGTCCTAACTCTGTGTGTGTGTGTGTGTGTCTCTGTGTGTGTGTGTGTGTCTCTGTGTGTGTCTGTGTGTCTCTGTGTGTCTCTCTGTGTGTCTCTCTGTGTGTCTCTCTGTGTGTCTCTCTGTGTCTCTGTGTGTCTCTGTGTGTCTCTGTGTCTCTGTGTGTCTCTGTGTCTCTCTGTGTCTCTGTGTGTCTCTGTGTGTCTCTCTGTGTGTCTCTGTGTCTCTGTGTGTCTCTGTGTGTCTCTGTGTCTCTGTGTGTCTCTCTGTGTCTCTGTGTCTCTCTGTGTGTCTCTGTGTCTCTCTCTGTGTCTCTGTGTGTCTCTGTGTGTCTCTGTGTCTCTCTGTGTGTCTCTGTGTCTCTCTCTGTGTGTCTCTGTGTCTCTCTCTGTGTGTCTCTGTGTCTCTCTCTGTGTGTCTCTGTGTCTCTCTCTGTGTCTCTGTGTGTCTCTGTGTGTCTCTGTGTCTCTCTGTGTCTCTGTGTGTCTCTGTGTGTCTCTCTGTGTCTCTCTGTGTCTCTGTGTCTCTCTCTGTGTGTCTCTGTGTCTCTCTCTGTGTGTCTCTGTGTCTCTCTCTGTGTCTCTGTGTGTCTCTGTGTGTCTCTGTGTCTCTCTGTGTCTCTGTGTGTCTCTCTGTGTCTCTCTGTGTCTCTGTGTGTCTCTCTGTGTCTCTCTGTGTCTCTGTGTGTCTCTGTGTCTCTCTCTGTGTGTCTCTGTGTCTCTCTCTGTGTCTCTCTGTGTCTCTGTGTGTCTCTGTGTCTCTCTCTGTGTGTCTCTGTGTCTCTCTCTGTGTGTCTCTGTGTCTCTCTCTGTGTGTCTCTGTGTGTCTCTGTGTCTCTCTCTGTGTCTCTGTGTGTCTCTGTGTGTGTCTCTGTGTGTCTCTGTGTGTCTCTGTGTGTGTCTCTGTGTGTGTGTGTGTGTGTGTCTCTGTGTCTCTGTGTGTGTCTCTGTGTGTCTCTGTGTGTCTCTGTGTCTCTCTCTGTGTCTCTCTGTGTCTCTGTGTCTCTCTCTGTGTCTCTGTGTGTCTCTGTGTCTCTCTCTGTGTCTCTCTCTGTGTCTCTGTGTGTCTCTGTGTCTCTGTGTGTCTCTGTGTCTCTCTGTGTGTCTCTCTCTGTGTCTCTGTGTGTCTCTGTGTGTGTCTCTCTCTGTCTCTCTGTGTCTCTCTCTGTGTCTCTCTGTGTCTCTGTGTCTCTCTGTGTCTCTGTGTGTGCAGAGAGCGCAGTGAGCTGCTGATCCTGTGCGGTTACATCGGAGGCCTGCTGGCCATCAGACGGAGCTACTGCAGCATCGTTCCTGCTCTCTATGAATTCACCAGGTATGATGCGAGACAGCCGTAACCATGGTAACCAGACTCTGTCCTCCATGTTTGTAGTCTTTCATGAGGGATTCTCTGCAGTCTGAAATAATGCAGAAAATGATCAAATTGTGATGTAATTTTATCATTTGTGTGTGAAATAATTAAATAAAATAATTACTGAAAAAATGGATAACATTTGCAAAAAAAATAAAAATATAGCTTTTTTTTTCTTCTCTCCAACTTTCTGAAATTCAGAGACGTTTAATATTAAAGATGATGCCAGAAAATAATATTCCAGGACAAACTTGCTGAAAAATAAAAAAAATAATAAAATGGAAACATAAAATCATAAAACCGTGAAAACAGCCAAATTTTACTGAACACTTTACTGAAGTCTCCTGAGCTGCGGCGCCCCCCGCAGGGAGCGCCAGCCCCCCGCAGGGAGCGCCAGCCCCCCCTGCAGGGGGCGCCAGCCCCCCGCAGGGAGCGCCAGCCCCCCGCAGGGGGCGCCAGCCCTGACCGCCCTCTCTGTGTGTCTCAGCCAGCTGCTGAAGCGGCGGGACGTCGGCGTTCCTCTGCAGATCCAGCAGCTGTCGGCGGAGCTGGAGGCGTGGCGCGCCGCGACGCAGCCCGGCAGGTCGGCCATCGGCGCCGCGCTCACTTCCTGCTCTGCTGCTGGGTCACCGTGGCAACTCAGCAGGGCGGGGCCACGAGGAGGAGGGGCAGATTTGGTTTCATTCTGTTTTAGACCATAATAATCTGAAAAGTGTGGCTTGCAGTTCTACTTAGCTGCAGTAACCATGGTTACCATGGTTACTGCTCTCCACACTTTTCAGATTTTCAGATTTCCTCCTCTTCATCACTCTCGTCTTCCTCCAGTCTAACCAGTCCATCCAGTCCATCCAGTCTAACCAGTCTAACCAGACTAACCAGACTAACCAGTCTCTGTCATCCCCAGTCCTCCATCAGAGAGTCAGAGGGAAGAGTTCAGCCGCCTGCAGAGGAAGATCCAGCCTACAGAACCAGGTAACCGGATCAGAACCCGATCAGAACCAGATCAGAACCGGATCAGAACCCGATCAGAACCGGATCAGAGCCCGATCAGAATCCAATCAGAACCAGATCAGAACCCGATCAGAGCCCGATCAGAATCCAATCAGAACCAGATCAGAACCCGATCAGAGCCCGATCAGAACCCAATCAGAACCAGATCAGAACCGGATCAGAACCCAATCAGAACCCAATCAGAACCAGATCAGAACGGATCAGAACCCAATCAGAAACCAATCAAACCAGATCAGAACCCGATCAGAACGGATCAGAACCCTGTCTGGAGCCGGGCAGAGCCGCCATCAGTACGGAGGGCAAACTGTCCCAAATTACAAAAAAATAACAAGAAATAATTATTTAAATCTCATAAAATTGAAAATTGAATTAAATATATAAATAAATTTTCAACACAGTTTCATCTGTTGCCACATCTCCTTAACGGTTGCTACGCAACATTAGTTTACAATTCAATATGTAAATTGTTAACCAGTTAGTATGAACTGGTTAACAATTTAACCAGTTAAATTTATGTATTAATAATATGTTTATTGTTATACATTAATTAATAATAATAATGTATTAATTTATCAGTCACATGATAAATTAATACATTATTGATGGTTTCTGTGTTCTACGGAAGGCCGAAAGGGACAAAACTAAATCAAAATTAAGTAAAATAAACTTCTCATTGAATAATGTAACACACATTTAAACGATGAAATTAAATAACTAGAAAATTAATTCATTTAAATATGTAAAAATTATATCATCTTGCATTATTTTTTCAATGTGAAGACATCTAAACAGATTATTACATACAACTGATCGGGTCCAGTTCTGACCGTCCTGGTTCTGATCGGGTCCAGTTCTGACCGTCCTGGTTCTGTTCTCCTCCAGGCGCGCTGGTTCTGGTCGGACCCGACTACATGACGGGCTCCAACCTGCCGAGCCATTCGGACCTCCACCTGTCCTGCTTCACCGGACACAGGATCCAGGTGAGCCTGAGCGGTTCTGTTCCCCGAGGTTCCGGGCCGGCGTGAACGCTCCGGTTCTGGTTCTGTTTGCTTCAGGGTCCGGTGTTCCTACTGGAGGACAACAAGTCGGCCATTTCTCTGAACGACGCTCTGATGTGGGCCAAGGTCAACCCGTTCTCGCCGCTCGGAACCGGCTGCGGATCAACCGTTCTGACCTCAACCGGGACCGGAACCAGTACCGGGGCTGAACAGAACTCTGACTGATCAAGTCACAGTATGAAGAAAGTTACAGATTCAGAACCAGAACCTCCTACTGCTTCTGTTCCGGTTCTGACGGTTTCTGCCCGTCCCGGTTCTGTCCCAGAAGCCTCGTCCTGCATCCAGCTGCAGCTCTGCTGCCGGCTGCCATTTGTTTCTGGGGAGAAAGAGGCTTCCAGGGTCGTGACCTTTGACCTGCTCAAGGTGAAGCTCCGGGGTTTCTGGTTGTTTCTCTGAACCTTCCGGGATAACCTCTGACCCCTCCCAGGCTGAAGGGTCAGAGGTCATCAGTGACTGAGGCCTCTCCAGCGTAGCGTTGTGTGGAAACATCCAGGATGCTGCCGAGCGTTTCCTGTTTTGGTTGTACAAAAATAAATCTGGTTATTCGCCTGGAAAACCTGGAACAGAGGGAAGAGCGCAGACCGACGGCAGCCTGGAAAACCTGGAACAGAGGGAAGAGCGCAGACCGACGGCAGCCTGGAAAACCTGGAACAGAGGGAAGAGCGCAGACCGACGGCAGCCTGGAAAACCTGGAACAGAGGGAAGAGCGCAGACCGACGGCAGCCTGGAAAACCTGGAACAGAGGGAAGAGCGCAGACCGACGGCAGCCTGGAAAACCTGGAACAGAGGGAAGAGCGCAGACCGACGGCAGCCTGGAAAACCTGGAACAGAGGGAAGAGCGCAGCAGACCGACGGCAGCCTGGAAAACCTGGAACAGAGGGAAGAGCGCAGACCGACGGCAGCCTGGAAAACCTGGAACAGAGGGAAGAGCGCAGACCGACGGCAGCCTGGAAAACCTGGAACAGAGGGAAGAGCGCAGACCGACGGCAGCCTGGAAAACCTGGAATAGAGGGAAGAGCGCAGACCGACGGCAGCCTGGTTCACATGTTATGTACTTTACCAGGTGTGCTGATGTTCAGCAGCAGGAAGGTCCTGGTTTGAGTATTAAAGCGACTAATCAGAGGAAAACGAAAACAGCTGAATCATCGATCAAATAAAACTGAATTTATTTTTATTGTGTGGCAGAAAGCTTTGTGTATTTCCTTTAAAGGTCCTCACGCCTCCAGTTGCTGCCCTGATGGTGGCGAGGCGTGTCCCAGTGACGACAGGAAGCAGACAGCGTGCAGCCTGAAGACCCTGACGGTGCAGACGACCTTTGGCCTTTGGTCACAGCGCCCCACTGGAGCCGGGCAGGGAGGTGGACATGTTTCCTCTCTGGAGTTGCCCATGATGAGAGGCAACTCACCATAAGGGGGCGTTCTTGTTGCCCCCCACCTTGGTGGGTGCATTGGGGTTCACCCCGGCCTCCCGGCGCCTCTGGGTGAACCTCATCCGGAACCAAACGGTCCGGTTCTGACTGCTTACGCTCCAAACACCAGTTCAGACTCCCTCCCTCTGCTGGGGAACTTCATCGCTCCCAGTGAGACCTGGAGGGTTGAGGTTGGGAGGAAGGCGGTTTGGTGGAGTGGGGCGCCCTCTGGCGGCCAAAGCGGTATGTCAGTTTTAAAACTTCCTCTTATAAAAGGATCCACCGACATTAACTTTACGTTTTATTTGTCTGTGTACATCTGGAGACCTGCCTATGCCCCTCAACAATAAAATAAAAATGGCAGGAACACTTCCTTGGATTATTTTACGTGTAATTTTACCAAACTCAATGCCCTGAATGTCCACTAGAGGTCCCTGTCGGCAAAGCGCGTGGAAACAAAAACCGTGAGCGGCTTCATTAAATTTAACCGTACAGCTTTATTTAACGTAATCAAATGTCAGCTAGATGAATTTCACACATAACATAACAGCTGAGTTTATATTTAAACGTCCAAGTAAGGAGAAAACATTTTAAACGTGTTTTAACCTCCAGACTTTCTATTGGACACAAGCGTGTCACGTGACCAGAAATGAACAAGTCGGTCTTTTTCCCAGTAGGTCTTTTAGATCGATTCTGTTCCTTTATCTTTGTTTTCTTCTGTAAAAACGATTTCAGTGACTTTGGAACAACATTTTCCACTGACACTGATTGTTTTCTGAGCCATTAAATGTAAAATGTTCCGAACCGAGAAGAAATTCTCTGTATAACTGCATAAATGCAAAGATTTTGACTTTTCCAAGAAACAAAAAGCTTTTTTCGAAAGAAAAAAAATCTGTTCTTATCAGTTTCTGATACGTCCCCTATCCGGGGACCATATATTACATTGATTTTTGGAACAGGTTTTGCTCCGTCCACTCCACGCATCGACCTGGTATTGCAGTATCTCCAGGACCGGTGCTCACCCTGATGCTGTTAGATGGAAAACTGGTGGCAGAAACCTGGGAGTCTTCCTAGCGAAATATGGATTCACATTTTAGTACTATGTTCAGTCTGCGTCCGGAGAGCCGGACTACCAGCAGAAGTTAAACTTCTAGTAATTTTCCACCACAGGTTCCTTGTTAAAATATAATTTTATTTGGTCCAGTCCAGTTTAGTCCAGTCCAGTCCAGGAGGGTCAGACTTTGTTCTTGCTGTGGCACCTTCCTTCCTGCAGGGGGCGCCAGCTGGTCTTGTCTGTGTTTTACAGTCTGACGCTCTGAGCCAAAACTAAACTAATTCCTGTTTTTTGGTTAAAAGTTTCATTTGGCAGCTTTGAAAAACATCAGCAATAAAAAAGAGGAACCAGGATTAAGCAACCTGAAGGAGCCACTGAAACACAGGAAGTGATTATTAAATTATTGACACGAAGATTTTAACATATTTTAAATCAAAGCTTTGATCCAATTTAGTAAAGAACTGAAACGTAAAATGTGGAAGATGCTGTGAGTATTTCCTGGTTTCAGCTCCGTGGAGACCAAAAACAGAAACTGATCGATCATGATCAGCATCTTCAGCCTCTGTGTTTCTGACCTTTGACCTCTGCAGCCTGAAGCCTCTTGAAAACTCAGCAGGAGGAGAAACGACGGAGTTCTTCTCTAGTTTTATGATTAACAGCCCTCCAAACATGAACCCCGACCCGTTCATCCTGGGGCTGCTGTCAGCCGGTGCAACAGCATGACCTTTGACCTGAGCATGCACTTCAACACAGTCCAGTTTCGGCTGAGGGTGTGAAGTTAAACATCCTGTCAGAAGGAGAAACGAGGGGGAAACACTTCATTAGAGCTCATTGTTCTGTGGCTGGAAGGAACAGCGAGGAGATGTAAGCAGCCTCTTCCTCTTCTCTTCCTCTTCCTCCTCTGAGCGAGAGCCGGTGACCTCAGGCTGACCTCACAGGTTTGGAAGACGGCCATCGAGTTGGAACAGCAAAGGGACATCACTGAGATTAACGACGGCAACCAAGACAGCAGAGACAAACAGGAGACGGGCCGGGATTATCCTGGATTATCCTGGATTATCCTGGATTATTGCAGACCAGCAGCTCCTGGCCAGCAGCTAGAGCATCCTGAGATAATCCAGAATAATCCAGGATGAACTGGCATAATCTGAGATAATCTTATCAAACAAGAACTTTTCAAAGTCTTAAAGTCAGATTCAGTTTAGATCTGTTGAATAAGCAATTATGTAATCATCAGATCAATCGATTCTGATGATTAATCAACACTGATAAAGTCAAATATTGGTAAATTCATCTTAACATCAGTATTAATGGCAGATATTAAAGTTCGGCCCAAAGTTCCCTGGTTTCCTTCAGTGGTTGTTGGTGCAACGCCCCATCAGGCCAGGAGGGGAACTGCACTGTTCAGTTCTGATCGTTTGCTCGCTGCAGCGAAACGCCGCAGCTAAAGCTGCAGCAAGTTGCGGCTTTAGTCCCAGTAGAACCGAGTGAGGCGGTCAGATCTGGTTTCCACTGGACCGTGTGAACAGTTTCTGCTGCTCTCATGTTCTCCTGCAGCCTTCAGCCAGGAGGAAATGCTGGAAGGGAAGCGTCGCGTTTAAAACCCTCCGTCTGGGTGAAAGTGCAGCAAACCAGAGGACCCTGAAGGCAACACGCCTCATCCGGCTGCTTTTCCCTGGATGGAGAACAATCTGATCTGTCCTCACACCAGGAATCAGTTTCAGCAGTTTTCTCTAAGTTTGTTCCAGACTAAAGAATCAGCTTTCAGATTTTATTTGGTTCTGATTCTCTGAGGCTTTTTAAAATAATGTTTCAGATCAGCTCTGGTTCGATCTGCAACTGCAGGCTGACAGGATTCGTCCAGGTTTAAGGTTTTATTGGCCTTTCTTTGATACTGAATTGACAGCAGGGCGAAGACATGGGGCAAAGGTCAGCAGGCCAGGAATCGAACCTGCGACAGCCTCCACAGCTGAACCGCTGCTCCACCAGAGCAGAGGCTGGATCAGCAGGATGAACTTCCTGCTGCTCATTTCTTGGTTTCATGGCTGAATTTGTGGCGCAGCATCGACTGGATCTAAATGTTCTGAGGCAGGAAGTCGGCGAATCCAAGTTGCAGTTCAGATTTCAGGCGCTGGAGGATCCAACCTGTGAGACAAAGCTGCGCTGGCGTTTCCACGGCGCTTTGACGCCGTTTCCTCCATGCTGCTTTCAGCTTGGACGATAAAATCCCTCATGTGGATCCGGCAGAACCGTCTCACGACCCGGACCACAGAACCTCAGAACCGTCTGACGGCCCGGACCTCAGAACCTCAGAACCGTCTCACGGCCCGGACCTCAGAACCTCAGAACCGTCTGACGGCCCGGACCTCAGAACCTCAGAACCATGTCAGACAGGAAGCAGCAGCGAAGCAGCATTTATTTATATTAACATTAATATCATTTCTCAAGTTAGAAAAATTTAACATTATGAAGACAATATTACATAAAACGTTTTTCTAACATAAATGAGATGATTTTACCTGAAAACACAATAATTACTGGATAATTACTGGCCACATGGAGGCGCCCTGGAGCAACAGAGCCTTAAAGCAACAGAAAACTTTCTGAACTCGTTCACACAAAAAGCAGAAATTCTTTGGATCCTTTTTTTAAAACCTCTGGTTTGGAGATTTGTGACAGAACCAGAACCAGAACCAGAATAGACCCAGTTAAATTTTATAAATAAGAGCTGATTATACTATAATCTACAACCAGAAAAATGATTTTCTTCTTTCTTTGGCTTCATTCCCACAGCGGCGGCCATCTGACAGGTGAGTCCAGGTGAGTCCAGGTGAGTCCAGGTGAGTCCAGGTGAGTCCAGCCGTCACTGAATAATCCTGGAGTTCTTGGTCTGGAATCAGCATTGCTAACACAGCTGCTCCTGTTCATCAGTAGACACTCGGCGCCCCCTGCAGGCCTGGAGGTCGATGAGGCTTTTATTTAATTTCCTTTGGAATCATTAAAGTATCTTTGATTGAATTTTCCTGTTTTCTGTTGACCTTCAGTTCCGTTTGCTTTGGTTTCTCCTCTCAGTTGAGATGTTCTTCTGAACTGTTCTGTCTGCTTACACGCTGCAGCTCACGTAGCCATGTTTATGTGTGCCTGGTGGCAGCCTGAAGCTGATCGGACCGCAGGCCTCCAGTCTTTGCCTCACCCGGTTCCGTCCAGAATGTAACTCTGGTTCTGATCCGTTTCTATGACAAGTTTGGCTTCTAACATTCGATCGTCTTTCGCCATTAAAGCCTGTTTTTCTATTTAACCAAAGCTCATTATTTCTCAAGGTAATTTACACCGAGGGGTTCTGGTCGGGTTCTGGAGCTGGTAAACGGACCTGGTGGACCTCAGAGACAGAAATGAATGAAGTCCAACAGAACCAAACCTATTCTGGAGTCCAAAGTGAAGCTCAGTCTGAACTGGGTCAGAACAGAACCGCGATCCAAACACAGCTGAAGAAGAAGAGAATCAAAGTGCTGCAGTGGCCTAGTCAAAGTCCAGGCCTTCACCTGATGAAAATGTTGTGAGACCTTCAGAGAGCTGAGCAGAACCGCGATGAACCGAAGCAAAGATTTGGACCACAATGCAACTGGTGAACACAAACTGGGAGAAACCCTGAGGTTGGTACCAGGTTCTGTTGGTATCAACAGAACCTGGTACCAATCGGATCATTTCTGAACAGTTAGGAGCTGTTTGGTTGTCCATGACTGAACCAGGCCAGAACCGTTTTCTTCGCATCAGCATGTGGTTCTGGTTCTGGTCAAATCAGCTGATTCCAGACTTTTGGTTTCCACAGGAAGCGGTTCTGCTTTGCTGAGTCCAAACAGGAAGCAGAACAGAACCATCTTCAACATTTCTCTAAAACAATCATCTGAAACCAAAAGAGCTGAGGTTCTATGAGGACCCGGCTCCAGTTTAGCTTCCAGAACCCCTGATCGGGTCGCGGTTCCTGCGGGTCGGAGGTCAGGCCGACATGGGTTCGTACGTGTGGAAGTGGATTCCCTTGGCGCAGGTGATCTTCATCACGGCGCCGTTCAGGCTCGGGTCCGAAATGAGCCTCATCATCCCTTCAGCAATGAGCGACGGCCTGGAAACAGAGACACAACGTCAGGAGAACCGCCGGATCCGGACCCGGATCCAGTCTGAAACGGGCCGGCGCCTCCAGCGCTAGGAGGTTCTCTGGGTTCATCAGAACCAGAACCTCCCTTCGACCTGCTGCCACTGAGCCGGCTCTGCTCTGGTGGCACCAACAGGCCCGACTGCAGCCGGTTTGGGTTGAACACGGACAGGATGGTTCTGATGGTCCGACCCAGAACCAGAACTGAAGCTGCAGGTTTTTATCCTGGATGTGAAACTGCTGCACTGACACAGCGGCTCCGGCGCCAACCCAACTGGAACCGGATTCACTCATGGAACCGAGCCGGGTCACCTGAACCCCTCAGAATCTCCAGGCTGACTGAACCCGTCTCTGGACTTTATTTAGGGGCATCGTGGGTGAACAAAACCCCTCCAGGTGGGGAATCAGGTGAGTAAACGAAGCCCTGGGCCTGCAGGCTGAATGCTGCCAGGTTGCCAAGTGTAAAGTTTGGTGGAGGAGGGATCATGCTGTGGGCTGAGGTTCCAGTTTGGATGTGGACCCGTTATGGATCAGGTCCAGAAAGACCCGATGGGCAGCTTGGCTCAGAGTCCTGACCTCAACCCGCCGCAAAGCCTTTGGAATGAATCACAGCAGAGACTGAGAGCCAGGCCTTCTCGTCCCACATCAGTGTGTGACCTCACAAATGTGGAAGAACGGTCAGGAATCCCCAGAAACAGCCGCAGACCAGAGGAACCGACTGCAGCCAATGATGATGAGTTCTGAAGCTCCAGTACATAATCTGGATTCATTCACATTTATCTGATGCCGGGTTCTGGACTCAGGACGGAACCCGGCTCGGCTGGACTTACTGTAGAACCCCAAACTTGTTCATGCTGTGCTTGAAGTCGTCCTTGAACTTGACGAACTTCCCCATGTTGTCCTCGTCCTCCACGGTGTGCAGCAGCGGCGTGTCGACGAAGGCGGGACACAGGACGTTGATGCGGACGCCGTAGTCGTCCTGAGCAGCGGCGTCCTGCGGAGGCACAGACACACAGCTGCTGACCTGAAACCTGCTGGCAGACGGCCGACTCACGCCGCGCTCCGCTCACCGCCATCGCTCGGGAGAAGCCGATCACTCCGTGTTTGGTGGCCGTGTAGACGGGCTGATGCGGGGAGTGGAGGAATGCTGGAGGAGAAAAACCAGAGATTCAGCCGGAGCCTTCAGGCCGCATCACCTGCACAGGCGACACACTTCTAGATCAGGTCACCAAGACTCTGACCCATAAAGGCGGATCTATTCGGTGTAGCTCCATGTTTGAGTGGTGTCATGCTTTATTTTAGGTTATATTTAGAATTATTAACTTCATTTTCTGAACCATCTGAAATCTTTGCTTCTGTTTATTTTTACGTTTGGCCAGATGCTGTGGTTTCAGCAGGAGAGGATGGAAACCGGGGGTTATCTGGAAAGATAATCAGCTGTTTGATTCAGTTGAGCTTCTTTCTCCTGAATGGATTCAATTGGTTTTTCATGTCTGACTAGCGGTTGTTGTCTTTAAGCGCCTACTGCTGCAGTTATCAAATAAATATGTAATTCAGTCCATCTGCCTGTTTTAAAAAATAAACGTTCTAAGTCAATGTTTATCTGTTCAGAATTGGCCGATAATAAACCTGAGATATTGATATCGTATCAGAAGCGAAAAAGTAGATCAGTGCTTCCTGCAGCATTATGCTATACGTCACACCGGGATAGCGCTTTAGCATTATGCTACACGTCACATTGGGATAGCGCTTTAGCATTATGCTACACGTCACATTGGGATAGCGCTTTAGCATTATGCTACACGTCACATTGGGATAGCGCTTTAGCATTATGCTACACGTCACATTGGGATAGCGCTTTAGCATTATGCTACACGTCACATTGGGATAACGATTTAGCATTATGCTACACGTCACATTGGGATAGCGCTTTAGCATTATGCTACACGTCACATTGGGATAGCGCTTTAGCATTATGCTACACGTCACATTGGGATAGCGCTTTAGCATTATGCTACACGTCACATTGGGATAGCGCTTTAGCATTATGCTACACGTCACATTGGGATAGCGCTTTAGCATTATGCTACACGTCACATTGGGATAGCGCTTTAGCATTATGCTACACGTCACATTGGGATAACGATTTAGCATTATGCTACACGTCACATTGGGATAGCGCTTTAGCATTATGCTACACGTCACATTGGGATAGCGCTTTAGCATTATGCTACACGTCACATTGGGATAGCGCTTTAGCATTATGCTACACGTCACATTGGGATAGCGCTTTAGCATTATGCTACACGTCACATTGGGATAGCGCTTTAGCATTATGCTACACGTCACATTGGGATAGCGCTTTAGCATTATGCTACACGTCACATTGGGATAGCGCTTTAGCATTATGCTACACGTCACATTGGGATAACGATTTAGCATTATGCTACACGTCACATTGGGATAGCGCTTTAGCATTATGCTACACGTCACATTGGGATAGCGCTTTAGCATTATGCTACACGTCACATTGGGATAGCGCTTTAGCATTATGCTACACGTCACATTGGGATAGCGCTTTAGCATTATGCTACACGTCACATTGGGATAGCGCTTTAGCATTATGCTACACGTCACATTGGGATAGCGCTTTAGCATTATGCTACACGTCACATTGGGATAACGATTTAGCATTATGCTACACGTCACATTGGGATAGCGCTTTAGCATTATGCTACACGTCACATTGGGATAGCGCTTTAGCATTATGCTACACGTCACATTGGGATAGCGCTTTAGCATTATGCTACACGTCACATTGGGATAGCGCTTTAGCATTATGCTACACGTCACATTGGGATAGCGCTTTAGCATTATGCTACACGTCACATTGGGATAGCGCTTTAGCATTATGCTACACGTCACATTGGGATAACGATTTAGCATTATGCTACACGTCACATTGGGATAGCGCTTTAGCATTATGCTACACGTCACATTGGGATAGCGCTTTAGCATTATGCTACACGTCACATTGGGATAGCGTGTTAGCCTTATGCTACACGTCACACCAGGATAGCGCTTTAGCATTATGCTACACGTCACACCTGGATAGCGCTTTAGCATTATGCTACACGTCACATTGGGATAGCGCTTAACATTATGCTACACGTCACATTGGGATAGCGCTTTAGCATTATGCTACACGTCACATTGGGATAGCGCTTTAGCATTATGCTACACATCACATTGGGATAGCGCTTTAGCATTATGCTACACGTCACATTGGGATAGCGCTTTAGCTTTATGCTACACGTCACACCAGGATAGCGCTTTAGCATTATGCTACACGTCACACCAGGATAGCGCTTTAGCATTATGCTACACGTCACATTGGGATAGCGCTTTAGCATTATGCTACACGTCACATTGGGATAGCGCTTTAGCATTATGCTACACGTCACATTGGGATAGCGCTTTAGCCTTATGCTACACGTCACACCAGGATAGCGCTTTAGCCTTATGCTACACGTCACACCAGGATAGCGCTTTAGCCTTATGCTACACGTCACACCAGGATAGCGCTTTAGCATTATGCTACACGTCACGTGGAGATAGCGTTTTAGCATTATGCTACACGTCACGTGGAGATAGCGCTTTAGCCTCAGCTGAACACATTTTTATGAACGTTGCTTTAGCGTTAGCGCATCTCAGAACTGCCTCGGCTTCCTTGGGATCATCTCCAGCTGACGGCTGCAGCTCAGCACAGAAATCTGTTTTCAGTGAAACATCTCTGTGACTATTTCCACCCGGACACATCCACCCAGCCTCCAGCAGCTGTTTGTGTGTGCTGATAAGATCCTCTGTTGTTTCTGATTATCGTGGCCGGATCAAAAGCTCATGAATGTCAGCAGGTGGGTTGCAGCAAGCCGCCGCCGCCGTAGGAAGGCAGCAGCAAATCTGGCCTTTAAGCTTTCAGGAATATGTTGAGTCGCTCTCAGTCCTTCAGGAGAATGTCGCTGCTCACCTCTTGGACCAGACGGAAAGTAAAACCTCAAATCAGCACCATTTTTCTTTAGTTTACAACCTCTGACTGTGAACCTGGCAGATCAGAGTTCAGGTGAACTGAGGGAAGACTGGAAAAATCAGGAGCCTCATCCACTCGGGTCCAATGACGGACATCTCTGTAAACATGAATTCCTTCCCTAAAGCTCTGAGCTTCCAGGTATTTGTCCAGGTTTGGACTCGTCCGTGTTCGTCACAGGAATGTTCCTGAAGGTTTCCAGGTTGTGAGGGTCAGGATACGGATCTGAACCAGGCTGGAAAGAACCTGAAACCATGAAAAGCGATGAGTTCAGGTTCATCCAGGATGTTTTTCACCTGATGGTTAACTCAGACTGGAACTACCTGGAAAAACCCCTGATGCTCCAGAAAACCTGGAAACATCCTACTGCCGGTTTCCATCCTCTCCTGCTGAAACCACAGCATCAGGGGAAATTCTGGGACACAGACACGCTCACGTGGGTTAAAGGTCACAGAGGTTCCTACAGACGGAGGAGTGGGTCGCTCTGGTTCTGCTTTCTTTTCCTTCAGCTGCAGGTTTTCTGATCAGGAAATATGTGTGACCACGTGGTAAACTGAGGCTATTGTAATTTGCTCCTATATGTTGAGGTTGATAGAAATCTTACAAAGTTCAAGACAGGACACAAATATATTAAAAGTAAACGTTTATTTACTAATGCCTAATATTGGTGATCTTTGTGGATTTTATATTTTGGTTCTGAAATAAACACACTGGTATTTTTCTTTACTTTAATACCAAATAAGATAAAGGGTTAATGTAATTATTAAGTAATTAGCTTACTTAGTAATTAAAATGATATTATTTAGAAATCGACTAAGCGCATCATCTTATGTAAAGAAGTCGCGTGACGTAAGATGCGCCGTGTATTTTATTTGACTTTGCCATTTGATTGGTCATTGAGACAGTGCGTTCGGTGCGTGACTCGTGATTGGTTGAGAGAAGAGGAGGCGGGAGGAAGAAGGAGAGGAGAACCGTGATGGTGGAGACCGGAGCTGAGGCGACCGGACAAGAAGTGAGGAAATACAGACTCCAGGGAGAGAAAACCGGACAAAACACGGGAGAGGACGGGGTTCGGGAGAAGTTGGAGGAGCTTGGTCGACGCGAGATCGACGAGAGGAGACAGACGGAAGGAGACGAGCTTTGAGCTAAGCTAAGTGAGCTAGCCGCTTCAGCCCCTCGGTTCTGCTGCGTTCAATGGCCGTCGGGAGGAAAGAACCACGGAATTTAAACGCTCTCCATGTTTTTGGATTTCATCTCCTCGCTGTTTCCTTCAGGCCTGCCGGAGGTCGTGAGTAACAAACTGACTGTGTTACTATATATTGATATAACTGGACATTTCTCGTTGTGCCCTGGTTTGGGGAAAAGGTGGCCATTAATATTTAATTTTTTCTGCCTTATTTTCTATCAATCTTAAGAGTCTTTCAACTATAAAGTTACAGTGGTGACTAAATGATAGTTTTTCTGTCCCTTTAATTTTTACAGTTAGGCTGAATCATGTTGCCTAAAATTAAAATGTTTCTCTATTTGTCATAAACTGGGTCATGGGAAACCCAAGCGTCCTCCATTTCAGTTCTCTGCATAAAATGGGTAAAGGTGTCACATCCGTCTGAATATCATCTGCAAAGACAAACTGTCCCTCTGAAGTAAAAGCCGGTTCTGGTCGAGTTCAGAGTTTTGATGCCCATCATGTCTAAAATCGCGTTTTTGTGTTAAAATGTCCAAAGTTGACAGGAATTATGACCTGGTAGTTCTGTTATTGAAATACATTTTCCACAACACAACTCCTGCTGTGATTAAAAAAAAACTCTGGAAAGAAACATGATTCCTCACAGGATGTTGATGTAAATATTCATTCAGGTTTGAGTGAAAGGAGGCGGCGATCCAGCTGCTGTGATTGGTCCTTATGCTTCAAATGCATGAACTATAAACCTGTCTTCTATCAGCATATATCTATGAATAAATCTGATCCGACAGTGAAATGTTCAGAGCGTCTAGGATTTTATGGTTTTAATGCTGTGGGGATGCGAGTGCCTCCTACAGCCAAGGCTGAGAGCGTGATGAGAACCGCAAACCTCACACACAGATTATTCTGCATTCAGGAAGTAGATGCACTCAGTGACTCTTCTGTACCTGAAGTTCAGGATTCTGAACCATTACTTCCAGTGAACCGGCTCTGCTGGAACCTTCCAGAGGAACCGGTTTGAATGAGAGGCGCCGCTGAGGGAGTTCAACTGTGAAGCGTTTCTGATAAACGGCGCTCAGCCTGGTGGGGGCCGTGGAGCCTGGCAGCCTGCCAGGCTTACGATACACTGGAGGAAAGTCTGACATTTCCAGACAGTTTGAGTTTAGATGAGCTGCTGCAGGAAACATCACTGGTTTCATCGCCTCAGGATCAAAAACTCTCCTTAGTGGGAAACTGTAGCCGGTGGGAGCCCTGAACCCGACCCGGTTCTGCACCAACTCCTCTGTTTGGTTCGTGTTCAGACATGAAGACGACTTGATGTTGAAATTAATCAGGTTCAATGTTAGAGGAGGACGTCAGTCAAACCATCTGGATTCAAATTTGGAAGAATTTTTTATCAAATCGTGTTTCTGTTTCCAAGGATGAAAGTGAAAACTCCAGATTTTGTCCTGAATTGCATGTTTTCTCTTGACGAGTGAGTTTTAAAGAGCAGCTCTTATGGGTCGAATCCAACCCTTCCTGCTGCGCTGAAGAGGAGTGAACACCAGTGGGGTCAGAGGTCACAGCGATCTGAACTGCAGCAGAACGTCGACCACACAGGAAGTTTTTGTTTTTTCCCCTCCAGGGGGCTTTTTGCAGGCTCCAGTGTCCCTTATATGACAGAGAGGGAGTTAGGAGAGCGAGGAAGACATGCGGCGAATATCATCAGGGCCGGGAGTCGAACCCGCCGCAGTGCGCCGACCACACAGGAAGTTATCAGATAACACAGATTAGGACATTTCCTGTCCTGAGGCCCAGTGGCGATGAGGAGGAAGATTTCAGCTTCATCATGTCTGCCTGAGCAGCAGCAGGCGTTTATCTCTGAGCAGTCGGCCTGCTGACCTTTGACCCTTTTTTCACAGACTGATCAGGTTTAAAGATCCCTGCTGTTAGTTTCAGGCCCATTTTCTTTCCCACAATGCACTGGGGTCAGCTCTCAGGCCCCAGCAATCTCCATTCAAGAAAAACTTTATTTACACCCAGAGACAATTACAACGGCGCAGAGAGCAAAACAAATCGGGCCCCTCTGACAGACCTTGGGCCCCTCCGGGGTCTGCCGTAGGGGCCCGGGATTCGCTGGAGGGGCCCTGCCGGTATCTGTGGCTCCCTCACCGTACCAGCATTACCTGCCATGGAGGACACGTTGATGATGGTTCCTCCTTCCTTGCCGAACTCTTTGCTCATGTGCTCCAGGGCCAAGTAGGTTCCCTTTATCACTGAGGTCTGCAGATAAAGCAGAGAAGAAGAAGAAGCAGTTAAAGTCGGCGCTATTGGGACAGGAAGTCATGAAAGGCGACACTTCTGATAAGAGGCGATACCAGAGGCTGCGGTTTCCTCAGGAAGCCGTCAGCAACGACAAAAGCAACATCGAGCTGCTGATATGATCGGCAACCAGAACACAAGGCGGAAACTTATTGAAAACACAACTGAAACAAGTCAGACATTCTGCATGCTCAGATGACCTCTGACCTGTGGGTCAACATTCTGGAATCAGGATCCAAAGAAAAGAAAACCAGGTCAGAGGTCAGGCCTCCATTTCCACACTTCTCAGTTTTTTCAGAACATTGTGATGATCCTCCAGACTTCTGGAAAATAATCTGGGAAAAGCTGAACGTTTAGAAAGTGAGCGACGGCCTGGAAGGAACAAAACCAGCAGGGAAGCACGGTGGTGGCAGCATGAGGACCAGGGATGTTCCACTTCCTGGGAGTCATTCTGCTGAAGGAGAATGAGCGACCTCCAGAACCAGAACCAGGAAGTGATCCAAAACAGACCCCACCTCTGCAAAACAGCATGGAGGCTTTGCAGTGGCCTAGTCAAAGTGGATGCTGTGACATGACCTTAAGAAGGCCAACAGAGCTGGAACGAGGATCAGGACCAGTGGAGCCAGATGAGCTCTGAGGTTTCCAGTGAAATCCTTTCAGATGAGGTTCTGATCGGCTCGGTGCAGGAAGAGGAAACACTTTATTGAAACAGGAAGTGATGAAATGGATTATTTCATTTATCGCTTCTTCACTGAAGCCCAGAACAGGAGGACTTCCTCTACAGAAAACCGAAGAGCAGGCCGGGTCCTGGTTCTGATCCCAGAGGTTCATCCAGGTTCTGGGTTTATGAGTCTGACGGTCCAAATGATTCTCTCTGAACTCCACACACAGAAAGTCCGACAGAACATCTTTGGGTTGTTTTGGACCAGGAGGTTCTCAGCCAACCAGTCTGTGCGAGACGCTGTCAGAATCTCCCAAAAATTGATCAGAACCAAAAGGTTCTGAAAGCACCAAGGTGTCAAAGTCCAGTCCTGGAGGACCGGTGCCTCTGCTGCCCCACCTGGACAGAACGATTAGGTCATTAAGGACCCAGGTCCATGTCCTGGTCCAGTTCCTGGTCCTGGTTCTGGTCCAGATAATGAAGCCTGAGGCTCATCTAAAAGCTGCAGGACTTCGGCCCTCCAGGACTGCAGTAAGAGGTCCGACCCGGTTCTAGTGATGATGAAATGAACTGAAGAAAGAGTTCAGAACCAGCCAGAACATCCAGTTCAGACTTTTCATTCTGACAGTTTTATGTTTCCTTTTTGTTCAGTCGGTTCTGTTTTTCTGGTTCTGTTCAGCTCCGGTTCGACCCAACCGGCTGTATTTTTACGTCTCTTTTCATATCTGTGTTTTTTATGAGTGAAGGCTCGTGGCTGATGGTCCTGCCTACTTCCTGCTGGCTGTTGGGTCCTAAATGTCCCTAAACGTGGCTGTAGAGCTGCGATGTGTGGAAACATCCTGATGCCTTTAGCTGTGACTGGATCAGCTCTTATTTTCCAGACATGTTGACAAAAATCCCATTTTATGCAGATGATGTGATGTTTCTAAATGTTTGTTCTGGTTTTCCTTTAAACGTTTAAACTGATTCTAATTCGGCTCCTGCTGTAAAATCGTTCTGGTGTTGGTAGGTTGTGATCCGGGTCGCCTGCCGGTTCTTACCAGGTTGACCTGGATAGTTTTCTCCCAGTTCTTCTCGTTGTTGATGCCGGCGTTGTTGATGACGATGTCCAGGCGTCCAAACTGGTCCACCGTCCTCTGGAAGGCGTCTGTCCAGGGAGACAGAGACGATGAGGGCATGAGGGGCACGGGGGGCAATGTTTGCCACTCTGGGCTGGAAGCTGTTTTATTTTATTTATTTTGTTTGAATTGTTTGGTTTGGTTAGTTTTTAGCTGCAGTGAGTTACAGTCATGGCAGCAAACCAACAACAATCCAAACGGGTTGGACTAACGCTGCTGGACGCAGCTAATGTTTGCTAAATGATGCTAATGCTAATGTAACATTTAGGCTTCTCTTGTGATCCTGACTGGAGAAACTGTTTGTTTTTGTACGTTTTACTTTTGTTCTCTAGGCTCCAGCAGCAGCTGGATCTAAACTGGGTGAATTAAATAATGCTAAAAATCTTATCTGAAGACCTGATTATGATTTATGGTTTTACTTGTAAAATCTGATGTTCGGAGGTCAAAGGTCAGACCTGAAACTTCCAGGGTGAAAGTGAATTTGTCTCACTGTTGGGGCCAGAAACCAGTGGATGTTTTCTCCCTCTCAGCCTTAATTAATGCATAATAAACAGTTATTAATAACTGATCAACTGTTTACAGATGAACTCCTGGTCATCTGTAAAGCGGTTCTGCTTCCTGGACCGAACGGGCCTCCACAGAACGCGCTGCGGATCCCACCAGGAGGAGTTTTCAGGCGGCGCCGGTACACACGGCGCCGGAGGGGGAACAGATAACGACAGGATGTTTGGCAGCGAGGGGTTGATTATCTGCTCTGTGTAAACAGCCCCAGGGGCAAACCTGAGGTGGGAAAACTGGCAAGTAGCAACATTTGCAGCATTCCACTGTGAGACAGCAGCCGGTTCCCGGGTCGGGTCCGATCCGCAGGAACCTCTGCAGACGGATCCGGCCGGAGCAAACGGCACAGTGTCTGACCCTCGGGGCTTACCGTATGACAGCATGAATAATCAGGATGAATAACTGATGACGGTTATTCATCCTGTCATCAACATGAAGTTCAGTTTTCAGTCATAGTTTCATTTCTAAATATTACGGCTAAGCGCTAAGCTAACACAGATCAATATTCAGCTGGTTAACTAAATAATTTTAGTTTTAAATATGACTTAAAGGTTAACCTCCATTTTTTCTCTGCTAACACCTGCACCACTGAAGCGTTTCAGTTCAGCCAAATTTAGTGTTGAAACCCAGAAATGACTCAGTGCCGCATCACTTCCTGTTTCCTGTAGAGGAAGTGCAGCTTCATCATATTTGCTCCTCTTCCTCACCTCTCAGAGCGTCGCCTTCTGTGACGTCACACTGGATGAACGCGCTCCGTTCCTCCCCGAAGTCGGCGTCCAGCTGGGCCTGGAGCTGCTCCCCCACCGTCTTGTTCAGGTCCACAACGGCCACCTGCAGGACCAGGACCCAAAAGCTGGGTTCGCATCTGATTTAGGATTTTCCCATAACAGAGAATTTTCTCTCTCTTACATCAACACAGCCATCTTTAAATGCTTTAAAATAATGATGATATCTTTTTAGCTACATAAAGCACCTAAACGTCTGTTTGATCGAAAGGAAGTGACAGTTGGCTGAAGCAAAAGCATTGCTGTAATTTTCACCAAATACTTTTCAGTTGATTCATTTCTTAATGTTTATTTTTACTTGAGTAAAACATGCTGACATTGTGAACTTTACCTGTATTTTATTTTATATAAATAAATCAGATTTAAACGTTGCTGTGTTTCCATTACAAATCTTTGTTCATATGTTGCTAATGCAATTATGGTGTTTCCATTAAATATGAAATGAGATTAAAAATCATGGCAGCTGCTGATGAGGCTGTAAGATGAGATTGTTCATATAATTCAGCCAATCAGAGGAGACATTGGGGCGACAAGCCCCGCCTCCTTGTTTGGAGAAATTGTGGTCATTTTACAGAAGAGTTTATGAACTGCAGCTGCCACAGTTCCAGAAAAACAACTAAATACTCCTCCTACTTCCTGTCGTCTTCTTTGTGGTTTTCACCAGTAGCAGCTTCCGGTTGTTGATCAGTGATTTAAATGAGGCGGGAAAAGTGTTTAACCAAATACATCCGGTTTGATTCCTCTTGGCGCAAAAACACATTTTTTAAATACATTTTTAAACTTTTTTCGAAATTGATGTTTCCTTTCAGCAATTACTATTATCATTACCCGGAACCGGGTCCAGCGGGACCGCGGGACCGGGTCCAGCGGGACCGCGGGACCGGGTCCAGCGGGACGCGGGACCGGGTCCAGCGGGACCGCGGGACCGGGTCCAGCGGGACCGCGGGACCGGGTCCAGCGGGACCGCGGGACCGGGTCCAGCGGGACCGCGGGACCGGGTCCAGCGGGACCGCGGGACCGGTCCAGCGGGACCGCGGGACCGGGTCCAGCGGACCGCGCGGGACCGGGTCCAGCGGGACCGCGGGACCGGGTCTGAGACGGAGGGGATCGGAGCATCAGCAGAGCAAGAACCGGTTCGGTTTTATCAAACTTGTGGTTTCACAAGTTCTGCTGGTGATCCGGTTCTGATCTTGTTTCTCTGCATGTGTGAAGGAAACTTTGCAGAAACATGCAGACTTCTCTAAAAGCTGCGCTGCGCGTCATTTACCAGAACCAGAACCAGTTCGGCAGAAAGTTCGACCAGAAGCTTTGAAAGCAGGAAAAAGTTAGATGTGAGCAGAAAGCAGCTGCAGACCGAGCAGAACGTGAAGGCTCCCGAGTCGGAACCGAACCTTGGAGCAAAACCCAACCTTTGCCGAGCTCTTCAGCAGAGACTGGACCACTGCCCTCCCGATGCCCTGAGCTCCTCCGGTCACCAGAGCCACTTTCCCGGACAGAGGCATGATCGACACCGGCGACGCGCTGCGGGTCTGAGCGCTGCTGCGTTCCTCTCCTCTTCCTCCTTCTGTTTCTCCTCCTCCTCTTCCTCCTCCTTCTCTTTCTCTTCCTCCTCCTTCTGTTTCTCCTCCTCCTCTTCCTCCTTCTGTTTCTCCTCCTCTTCTTCCTCCTCCTTCTGTTTCTCCTCTTCCTCTTCCTCCTCCTTCTGTTTCTCCTCTTCCTCTTCCTCCTTCTGTTTCTCCTCCTGCTGTTTCTCCTCCTTTTTCTTCTTGTCAAATTAATGGTAGAAAAATGACCCTTTCACCCCAGCATCAGATTCTTCATAATTGAAATAATTTCTCGGTGAGCTAAAAGTAAACACTGAAAGCATCAACATCTGACTGAATCAAAACTGAAACACCAAACATGGGGGTCCAAGGTCTGGCCCAGGGGCCATTTGTGGACCCTGAAGTGATTTTGTGTGGCCACAGGTCCAATTCAAGATGAGACAAATTGACTCCACCAGATTTTTGGACTTTTCTTTTTAAACAGAAAAATGATTACAGACCATTTAAAGTAACAACAGAGATCAGAATCCAGGTGCTTTGATGCATTCAGATCTGCTTTTAATATCGTTATTAAACATAGCTATATACTTTCAAACAAAATGACCTACATCTACTTTTTACTGCTTAAAATGAATAAAATAAATTATTTTCAGAAGTGAAATGTAACATTGACAAAGTGGACCCTCTTGTCTTAATGAGGATCTACGATAATTTACACTTTCTTTCCAAAGAAAATGGACTATTTAGTCTTTTTATTAAAATATTGCAACCTAGTTTATTATGAAGTTAAAAAAGGCAAAATTTTGTGTCTTTTTGTTTTGTTTTTATTGGACTTTTTCTCCCACTTCATGTTTTTTTTGCAAATCTTTTTGAATCGATGATTTTGGTCAACCTGGCCTAGAAGTTCAATCAAGAACAACAACAGTCTAAACTATATTAAAACTAAAAAGCAGCAGAGGATTTCCTAAAGTAAAACACCGGAACAGAAAGAATAATCGCAGCTCATATTATTTAATCTAGAAGATAAACATGGTGACCTTTGACCTAGAAAACAACATTTTAACAGCAGCAGAAACTCGTCCCTCCATTTTCTTACCTGGTCCCTGGTGGAGCTGCTGGGCGACCCGACCAGGTGACCCGACCAGGTGACCCATCCAGGTGACCATCCAGGTGACCCATCCAGGACGACCTGTCCAGGTGACCCAACCAGGACGACCTGTCCAGGTGACCCAACCAGGACGACCTGTCCAGGTGACCCGTCCAGGTGACCCATTCGGTGACCCGACCCGGTGACCGACCCGACCACCCATCCATGTGACCCGACCAGGTGACCCATCCAGGTGACCCGTCCAGGGCGACCTGTCCAGACCCGTCCAGGTGACCCATCCAGGTGACCCGACCAGGTGACCCGTCCAGGTGACCCATCCAGGTGACCCGTCCAGGGCGACCCGTCCAGGTGACCCCGTCCAGGTGACCCATCCAGGTGACCCAACCAGGTGACCCGTCCAGGTGACCCGTCCAGGTGACCCGTCCAGGGCGACCTGTCCAGGTGACCCGTCCAGGTGACCCATCCAGGTGACCCAACCAGGTGACCCGTCCAGGTGACCCATACAGGTGACCCAACCAGGACGACCTGTCCAGGTGACCCGTCCAGGTGACCCAACCAGGACGACCCGTCCAGGTGACCCGTCCAGGGTGACCCAACCAGGTGACCCGTCCAGGTGACCCGTCCAGGGTGACCCTGGGGATCACCTGGACGGGTCGCCGGTCCATCGCAGGGCGACAGAGTCAGAGGGACAAACAATCACGAGTTTAAAGAAACTGATCAACCTGTTTGTGAACTGGGAGGAACCCAGAGAACCCAGCATGCACCGGGCCAGGAATCAAACCCACAACCTTCTAGCACCACAGTTCAGACTGCACCACTGTGCATACAAAAGCATATAGCAGGAAAAAAGAACTTAAATATAACATTTTTAATCAAAAGAGGGAAAAGTGGTGGAAAATCTTTATTATCATGTAAAATGAGAAACAGGATTAAATAATTCAGGATACATTCAATAGTCACACTAGCAATGAAAACAGGCTGATGTAAAAAAGGTTTGCTTATTTTCATAGATTTTGCCGAATCACTGCCTCACATCAGGCAGAGCGGCGAGCCCCTATGGACCACCTGCCACCTCTGCATGCACACACACACACACACACACACACACACACACACACACACGACATGTGTGTTGTGTGTGTGTCCCTGTCAGAGGAAGGTTAACTAAACTGTGCAAGATAATAATTACAGGTTGAATCCAGCAGCTCCTCTTCAGTCCTGTTGCTCAACCTGCAGCCCGGAGCGGCAGGTCTCTGCCTGCTCATGACGTCACGTCGGCCTGGAATTATCCTGGATTTACAGGGACAATAATTATTTACACCTCAAAACCTTTGACTGTCTGAGACGGCAACGCCGCGCAGATAATCCACCAGAACGGAAACGCAGGATCCATCGGGCCTGGACCGGGCCTGGATCCTTCCTGGACTGTACCTGGACCGCTGCAGGTTGGCTTCTTTTGTTTGGCACTTAATAAAAATTATGAAAAAAATGATTTTTTTCTCAATTTCAAGAAATATTCTTGTTCTATTAGAAAACTTAAAGTAAAATGATAATATTGTTCTCTCTAGTTAAAACATTTGTATAATACAATTCTTGTGGTTCCCCTCCACACCAGTTGGTGGCGGTAGTGTATCAATTCCAATGTTTGCCAACCGACAAACGTTAATGAAGAGGCCAGCACAGACGCAGCACTGAGACAGCGACCCGAGGCTGAATCATCGTTCATATTTCACAAAGCGGAGCAGTTTGCAATTTGCTGCTGGCCTTTGGTTGCTTTGGGATTCGTTCAGGGGAATCGGAGTAGATGAAAAAACATGCCACACTTTTCAGATTTTTATTTCTAAAACCCAAGTTTGTGAGTAGCAGTGCGGTTCTGGTCCGACCCGGTAAAACCACAACAGTTTGAATTTTTAAACAACAAACCAGAAAAAGAAAAGTTTTGTTTACCAACACGGATTCGGATCAGAACCAGCCGTCTGCTCCTCCAGATGTTCTGCAACCAGAACCGAAGATCACTAAAAGTACTCCAACTTTAACTGAGAAGAAAAAAATCACAAACGGAAAATATTTTATTTTACAAAGTCAGGAATTTGAAGCAATTTTTAGTTTTACAATTTTATCTTTTATCTCGGACAAAAATAAATATGAAATAATTAAAGTGCGTTGAAACATTCCTTATGAATCGATACCATATAAATAAACTGATTTCAATTGAATTCAATAAATAAATTGAATAAAAAGTGATTCAATGTTTTTGTATTTTCAGGTTAAAAACTCATAAATCATTTAAACTTTAATAACAAAAAATGTTTCCATCATTTGCAAAACGATAAAAATAAATGAAGGTTTAAGATGGCAGGGTAAACCCTTTGAGGACCGGGTTCTGGTTCTGGTTCTGGTTCTGGAGTGAGCGCCTCCTTCAGGCTGAGCTTTGACACAAAGGAGGAGAAACAAACAGAAACGTGCAAAAGTTTTGGGACGGAACGGAACCGGTGAGGACAGAGGAGAAAGAAACGGGACCAGAACCCATGAACCAGATCCGGAGGTTCTGGAGGTCCATCACAGATCTGGACCGGACCGGGGAGACGCTGAGTACGTCTCGGACTCCATCTTGGCTCGTCTTCAAAACATCCTGTGGATCTTCTGCGTCACTTCCTGAGTTTGGATGTTAAAAGTCGAACGATGAAAAAAAGTTAAAATAAACAAACAGAAGGACATGACGTCTTCTGAAGATCCACCGTCCTCTGAGGACATGACGTCTTCTGAAGACACGACCCGCTGTCCTCTGAGGACATGACGTCTTCTGAAGATCCACCGTCCTCTGAGGACATGACGTCTTCTGAAGACACGCCGTCCTCTGAGGACATGACGTCTTCTGAAGACACGCCGTCCTCTGAGGACATGACGTCTTCTGAAGACACGCCGTCCTCTGAGGACATGACGTCTTCTGAAGACACGCCGTCCTCTGAGGACATGAGGTCTTCTGAAGACACGCCGTCCTCCGAGGACATGACGTCTTCTGAAGACACGACCCGCTGTCCTCTGAGGACATGACGTCTTCTGAAGACACGCCGTCCTCTGAGGACATGACGTCTTCTGAAGACACGCCGTCCTCTGAGGACATGACGTCTTCTGAAGACACGCCGTCCTCCGAGGACATGACGTCTTCTGAAGACACGCCGTCCTCCGAGGACATGACGTCTTCTGAAGACACGCCGTCCTCTGAGGACATGACGTCTTCTGAAGACACGCCGTCCTCTGAGGACATGACGTCTTCTGAAGACACGCCGTCCTCTGAGGACATGACGTCTTCTGAAGACACGCCGTCCTCTGAGGACATGACGTCTTCTGAAGACACGCCGTCCTCCGAGGACATGACGTCTTCTGAAGACACGCCGTCCTCCGAGGACATGACGTCTTCTGAAGACACGCCGTCCTCTGAGGACATGACGTCTTCTGAAGACACGTCCTCTGAGGACATGACGTCTTCTGAAGACACGCCGTCCTCTGAGGACATGACGTCTTCTGAAGACACGCCGTCCTCTGAGGACATGACGTCTTCTGAAGACACGCCGTCCTCTGAGGACATGAGGTCTTCTGAAGACACGCCGTCCTCCGAGGACATGACGTCTTCTGAAGATCCACCGTCCTCTGAGGACATGACGTCTTCTGAAGACACGCCGTCCTCTGAGGACATGACGTCTTCTGAGACACGCCATCCTCTGAGGACATGACGTCTTCTGAAGACACGCCGTCCTCCGAGGACATGACGTCTTCTGAAGATCCACCGTCCTCTGAGGACATGACGTCTTCTGAAGACACGCCGTCCTCTGAGGACATGACGTCTTCTGAAGACACGCCGTCCTCTGAGGACATGAGGTCTTCTGAAGACCCGACACGCCGTCCTCTGAGGACATGACGTCTTCTGAAGACCCGACACGCCGTCCTCTGAGGATATGACGTCTTCTGAAGACACACCCTGTGAAGACTCGCTGTCCTCTGTGAGTCTCGTCCTCAGGGCTTGTGGACGTCTTCGTGTCTCAGGATCTTGTGAGGACCCAGTAGAAGATGTTGAAGAAGAGGTAAGGCCAGAGGGAATCCGGCTCTCGACACGTGTCGATCTTCTTGGCCCGGTCGATGAACTTCCTCATATCCTCAGTGCTCCTTCCAGGTGCATTCTGGGAGATGCTGACAGCTCCCACAGCGTTGTTGGCATTGACTTTGGTGTCCTTGGTGCTGCTGGGAATGGAGGTCACCGCAGCTGCGGACGCCGGCCGGCTCTCCTGGGCCTCCACTTCCTGTGGGAAAATACCAGGACGATGAGGTCAAAGGTTTGACCAGTCAAGAGACAAACGCTTTGTTTCAAGTCGTATCGACCCTCTGTCCTTAACTTCAGGAAGTGACAGTAAAAACGACGTTGGTCGCCTGATATGGCTGATAAAAACGGGTTAGCATCTGGACCGCGGACTGATGGTCAAGCTGACCGCGCCACTGTCGCCCCTGCTGGTCATCAGGACTAAATGCTGCAAGGCAACGACTGGACAGTGCTGGGTTTCCTCAGGAAGAACCTTTATAAACCAGTTAGCAGAAATCAACTGAACTGAAGGAAACCAGAATGTTTGCTCTGCAGAGAGGTATGTAAACTTCTGATGTGTCTCAATATTCCTCAGTGACTAATCTGACTGACCCGGAAAAAAAAAAAGACATTTTGACGTTAAAAGTGGAATATTTTCTAACTTTCTTAAGTCTGAAATCTGAGAAATGGAAGAACCGTTCTTTTCCAGGATCAGAACTTCTTCCGGGTCCAGACTCGTTCTGATCCAGGTTTTAGATGAAAATGTTGGATTTTATCATCTCAGGAAACTTCTGGAATTTTCTGACAAATTTAAGAGTTTTATCATTCATAATTTCAGAAAATTCATATCTTAGTTTATGGCTTAATCAGAGAAAATGTAAATAATTTTCTCAAATAAGTATTTTCTTTTCTAAAAATTAATTTCTGATTTTATGGCAGAAACGTCTTCTTCCTCTGGCCACCAGGGGGCAGACTGCAGAGGAAGCTGGTCTGGAAACTCAGGAAGTCCAAAAGGAGGCGCGTACGGCGGCCCGGTTGGGTCATGATGGCCACACATGCAGAGCGGCTTCCCCTGAGGAAGCTGTTTATCCGGCTCTTTGATCCGTACGGCGGTTCTGGCCGGCCGGCCGGCGCAGGGACTGGGCCGGCTCCTCCGGGTCGACGGCGCCGTTCTACTGACCCACAGCGTGATGAACGGACAGAACCATCACTGCCGGAGTCTCTGGGTCCGATTCAAAGCCAGACACAGAAACAAGTTGTTTCTTTGACTAGGCCACACAGTTTGACCTGGACCTTCACAGACAGGAAGAGAACCCAAATGGACTGGAAGGCAGAACCAGAACCAAACAACTCAGTGCTGACCCATTTATGTTCTAAGAGCTAGAGAGTGGCTGGTCCGACCCGGATCGCTGAACGGGTCGACAGAGACTTTACAGGAATAAAGTCATAATATTAGAATAAATATTTTATTGGAACAAAAGTAATGAAACTGAGGAATGATGAGCATCTTGTGCAGTTTTGCTTCTGGATCAGTTATAAATACGGAAATATTTCATGTTTTATCTGATCAGCAGAACTTTGAAATGATTCTGCAAACGACTGATTTCATTCAGAGGAAAGAATCAGCTCACAGCAGGTCATGGAATCGCTTCAAAATGATTTTTTCTTGACATTTTACAGTTTTATTTTCAGACTAATATTGGTAGTAATAAACATTTTTGGCCCTAATGCTGTGCCGTTATGAACGGGTGCCGGTCCGTTTCCTCCGTGGTTCTGGTTCCAATTCTCCATCTTGTTTCCATCAGGAATCATAAACAGAAGAATAAAAAGTGTTTTTATCCTCTGGTTCTGCAGAGGAGAGTCGGTCCGATCAGATGCTCACAGACCCACAGCAGCAAGGTTTGGGCAGCAGGGGCAGCGCTTGTTTACCTTGGTTTTGCTCTTGTGTTGGCGCCGGAAGCGCAGCAGCTCCTTGTGTTGCCTCGACACGAAGTTACGGCGGCGTATTCCAGCAGCGCAGAGAAGACGAAGAGGAGACACACGGCCATCCAGATGTCTATGGCCTTTACGTAGGACACCTGGAGACGCACCAACACTACAGTTACACACCGACACACACCTGGAGACACACTGCAGTTACACACCTGGAGACACACTGCAGTTACACACCTGGAGACACACTGCAGTTACACACCTGGAGACACACTGCAGTTACACACCTGGAGACACACTGCAGTTACACACCTGGAGACACACTGCAGTTACACACCTGGAGACACACTGCAGTTACACACCTGGAGACACACCGACACACTGCAGTTACACACCTGGAGACACACCGACACACTGCAGTTACACACCTGGAGACACACTGCAGTTACACACCTGGAGACACACTGCAGTTACACACCGACAGAGGAGTTACACAACAGAAACAGAACAGACTGCGGCCGTTGCCAACGCTCAGGAAAATCCTCCCTGGAGGAGCATCCATGGAGGATCAGAAAGTGAGGATTTTCCTCTCTTTCTGAACGGTTCTGGAGGTCTGGCCGGTGGACCGTCACAACCAGAGGAGTCAGAAACTTTCTGCTCCTTCAGGTTCAGACTCTGATGACTCCGCACCGACATCTAGTGGCAGGAAGCGGGAAGCTAACAGTTCTGGTTCCTGCTGCACAGGCAGTTTGGATCATAAATCCTGGCTCAGATATTTACAGTTAGGGCCAGAAATATTTGGACAGTAACAATATTTGTGAGTTGGGCTCTGCATGCCACCGCATTGGATTTGAAATGAAACCTCTACAACAGAATTCAAGTGCAGATTGTAACGTTTAATTTAAAGGGTTGAACAAAAATATCTGATAGAAAATGTAGGAATTGTACACATTTGTTTACAACACTCCACATTTTAGGAGCTCAAAAGTAATTGGACATATAAACATAACCCAAACAAAAAAGTTTTTTCTCAATATTTTGTTGTGAATCCTTTGGAGGCAATCACTGCCTTAAGTCTGGAACCCATGGACATCACCAAACGCTGGTTTCCTCCTTCTTAATGCTTTGCCAGGCCTTTACAGCCGCAGCCTTCAGGTCTTGCTTGTTAGTGGGTCTTTCCGTCTGAAGTCTGGATTTGAGCAAGTGAAATGCATGCTCAATTGGGTTAAGATCTGGTGATTGACTGGCCATTGCAGAATATTCCACCGTTTTGCTCTCATGAACTCCTGGGTAGCTTTGGCTGTATGCTTGGGGTCATTATCCATCTGTACTGTGAAGCGCCGTCCGATCAACTTTGCAGCATTTGGCTGAATCTGGGCTGACAGTATACCCGGTACACTTCAGAATTCATCCGGCTACTCTTGTCTGCTGTTATGTCATCAATAAACACAAGTCACCCAGTGCCATTGAAAGCCATGCATGCCCATGCCATCACGTTGCCTCCACCATGTTTTACAGAGGATGTGGTGTGCCTTGGATCATGTGCCGTTCCCTTTCTTCTCCAAACTTTTTTCTTCCCATCATTCTGGTACAGGTTGATCTTTGTCTCATCTGTCCATAGAATACTTTTCCAGAACTGGGCTGGCTTTGAGGTGATTTTGGGCAAATTTAACTCTGGCCTGTCTACTTTTGGAATTGATGAATGGTTTGCATCTACATGTGAACCCTTTGTATTTGCTTTCATGGAGTCTTCTCTTTGCTGTTGACTTAGAGACAGATACACCTACTTCTCTGAGAGTGTTCTGGACCTCAGTTGATGTTGTGAACGGGTTCTTCTTCACCAAAGAAAGTATGCGGCGATCATCCACCACCGTTGTCTTCCGTGGTCGCCCAGGCCTTTTTGAGTTCCCAAGCTCACCAGTCAATTCCTTTTCCTCAGAATGTACCAGACTGTTGATTTTGCTACTCCAAGCATGTCTGCTATCTCTCTGATGGATTTTTTCCTTTTTTTCAGCCTCAGGATGTTCTGCTTCACCTCAATTGAGAGCTCCTTTGACCGCATGTTGTCTGGTCACAGCAACAGCTTCCAAATGCAAAACCACACACCTGGAAACAACCCCAGACCTTTTAAATACTTACTTGATTACAGGTTAACGAGGGAAAGGCCTTTTGAGTTAATTGCAGCCTTTAGAGTCCATTGTCCAATTACTTTTGGTCCCTTGAAAAAGAGGAGGCTCTGCATTACAGAGCTATGATTCCTAAACCCTTTCTCCTATTTGGATGTGGAAACTCTCATATTGCAGCTGGGAGTGTGCACTTTCAGCCCATACTATATATAAATTGTATTTCTGAACATATTTTTGTCAACAGCTAAAATAACAAAACCTGTGTCACTGTCCAAATATTTCTGGCCCTAACTGTACATACACCTGGGCTTAAAGGGATCAACACCAACAAGATTGTTCCTGATTCAGCCAGCACCAGTTGATATCGAGGTCTGCAAAACCCAGCTTTTATTTTGATAGTCCACATTCGCTCATTGCCAAGCGAATTCACTTATAAGCTAAATAGTGAGAAAGCTAAAAATAAATGTAGTGAGCTAAATGTTTCGTTTGGAAAGTAAATAATTAATTTGTTAAAAAAAATTCAAAAATGAATTTTTGAATTCATGGTAACAAATAAAAAGAAAAAATCTTCCATTTCGCTTGGAGTCGTTGACCATTTTGCGCTCCAAAATGGACCATTGTGTTTGGGTCCAGAGCGGAGGACTCCATGTTGGACCCAAAAGCAGTATAGCTGCTCCCAACTTTTTCCACTGGTTGATGAAGATGCAACGCTCCGACTGATGGTTCCAAACGTTTATTAAAGGAATTTTCTGTCACATAAACGCCCAAGACCACCGTGAACACTGCAATAAAATACACAGTGGCAAATATACATCAGTTAAACCGTCATGTCTCTTATATATAAATTGTTCAAATGAAACTTATTACACATATACAAACACAAGAATATTCCATTCAATTGTCCATACCGTATGCCCCTCCAACCAGAAGGTTAGGAGTTGCTAGAAGTCCATTTCTTCCAAATTTCAGTTCTTTGTCTTTCCTATTACCGCTTGCAAAACCCAACTGAGTATGAAACGAAACTTACAGCCCTTTATCGAAAGCATCACGTGACCAAGTGATGACGTAATTGCTGAAGTGGTCAGATAACGTTATTAACCAAATCAAACAGTATTTCCCAAAATATACATAAAGAAAATGCTTGACTGCGTTCGCTACACTGCCACCAAAATTACAAAAGGTTTATTTCCACCATTCAAAGAAATTAAACATGTAATTTTCAATAACTTCAAATTTAACCTTTACCCACAATTTCCATCAATAGATCTTACAATAGGTGACTGATTTCATGTGAATGCTGAGCTATTTTGAATAATATTCAACTAACACAACTAATTTCTGCACTGGGCGCTCAAGAAATGAAGGTTGCGTTAAGCGTTCACCCTTTGGTCCTAACTTATTTTGGCCTACTTGTATTTTCACCTTTCGCACGAGACCATCATCATCTTCCTGTGCCTCAACTACTCTAGCTAGTGGCCACTCATTTCTGGGAGTGTTATCATCCTTAACGATAACTACATCTCCAATTTGCACGTTTCGTCTGGTTGCATGCCACTGCTGACGAAGGTTGATGTTGGTTAAGTATTCTCGGCGCCACCTGTTCCAGAACTGTTCTGAGAGATACTGTACTTTGCGCCATCTTTTTCTTGCATACAGATCTTCTTGAACGAACTTTCCTGGAGGTGGAAGGGGTATTGTAGACTTCATAGTAAGCAAGTGATTGGGTGTCAGGGGATAAGCATCTTTGGGATCTGTTTGGGTGTCTGTTGTCAGTGGGCGACTGTTGACTATGGACATGGCCTCATAGAAGAATGTTCTTAATGAGGAGTCATCCAGTCTTCCGTTAGCCTGAGCTAGAACAGAGCTCATCACACTCCTTGTCGTCCGAATCTGACGCTCCCATATGCCTCCCATATGACTGGCTTCGGGAACATTCATAAGGAAGTCACATTCCTTTCTTGCGAGATAGGTCGCAATCCTTTCCTTGTCAAGTTCCATCAAGCACTTTCCCAACTCACTCTTTGCTCCTACGAAATTTGTACCTTGGTCAGATCTAATTTGTCTGACTGTTCCTCTTATTGCAATGAAACATCTTAATGCATTTAGAAATGCATCAGTTGTCAGGTCCTCGAGCATCTCGATATGAATGGCTCTTGAGCTTAGGCATGTTAACAACAGCCCCATATCTCTTGTACTCTTTTCTACCTTGCTTCGTGTAAAAAGGACCAAAACAATCGATGCCTGTATATGAAAAAGGAGGAGATGGCTCTATTCGATCAACAGGCAAGTCAGCCATACGCTGTTCTTCAGTTCGACCCCGCACCCTCCTACAGGTCACGCAACTCCTGATGTGTTTGGCCACAACTTTACTAGCACCCATAATCCAGTAGCCATTAGCTCTGAGATCGTTCAGTGTTTGCCCTCGGCCTTGATGCTGTGTTCTTTTATGGCAATGATCAAGTATCAGATGAGTTACGATGCCTTCTTTCGGAGTATTACGGGATGTTTGAACTCTAGCGACGCTGATGACCTTCTTAACCTGCCACCAACTCTGAGCACTCTGTCCTCAAGAAACGGATCGAGTTCATACATTTTGTGAGTTCTCCTGAGTTTTTGTGATTGGCTGAGCAGCTTCAGCTCTTCTCCAAATGCTTCCTTTTGTGCCGCCTTGATCAGCACAAGAGCTGCTTTCTTTCGCTGCTCTACTGTAACAGGCCCAGATATGTCCCTATGAGCCAGCCTCTGAATGCGAGCAATGACGTTAAGGCAAGTGACCCAGTCTGAAAACCTTGCCAGCCTTATCAGAAGGTCATTTTCCTGCACAACATCCATTTTCAGGACTTTGACCTCTGGGTCACCTATGAGAAGCTCTGGGGTTGTTTGGATTAGTCACAATTTCCTGTTCCCATAAGAACTTAGGTCCCTTTAGCCAATCTGATGCCATTAGATCTGCCACCTTGAGTCCTCTAGATGCATAATCTGCCGGGTTTTGACTTGTTTCAACGTAAAACCATCGATTG